GTATTTCCCCCACAGACCACCAGGGCGGCCGAGAATACCTTTGTTCAACCTGAAATGACTCATTTAGTCATCCATAACGTTATGGTATACATTAATTAACTGAAAAATGTTGCATAGTGTCCCTTTAAAGTTTGCAAGCAGTAAACACCTTAACAGCAGATAACTGTTAACGTCCTTATTTGGAAGCATTTATTGATCCTAGAGGGTAACAGCTAATCGGAGATAGGCAGAGACCAAAGCAGGTTCTGAAAAAGCTCTTACTTTAAACATGATATAGTACTTTGCAGAGTTTTTTTTAACATTCCTTTTGAAGAACATCATAAGTATCTGCTCAGTGTTTTATAAACATCTAACTCACCTCATATTTTCAGTAGATGTATTTTATACCAAATGTGATGTCTATGTACTTAAATCAGCATAAGGATCAAGTCTTCTACATTGCTTTACCTTTACATTTGTGCTTGAAAGATTACAAACTCTATAATGCAATTCACAAACGTAATAATACATCAAAATGATACAAATGTAAGTCATATATATATATATATGCTTGAGGGTTTTATATATAAAACCCTCAAGCATATCTGTATATCTGTTATTCATTCTGTTTTAAATGTTTTGCTTTTTTTGAGGACAGCAGAAAGCAAAAGATATACTGTAGTAATGTTACTAGATGACAAAATTTGTGGTTAATGTCAAGTAGCTCCCAGGATTATGATTAATTATGATCTGTATCTGGGGGAAAACATGCATAATAATTGTGTGTTGTTGCAATCAGTTCAAGGTCTAACATTTATAAAAATATAAAAAAAAAACTATAACTGATCCATTGATCTTTCCAGCACTGGTTTTGTATAATCATTAATTAATATGCTTATATTTAAGAATAATTTAATCCATTTATCATTTATAGTTCAGCAATACATCATTGCTTAATTTAAGTTTTTTTTCTGAAGAAATTTATTTGATAGACTTTCAGTGTTCAATCCTTACAGAATCTTTTTTTTCTTTCTATAATTGATTTAAATTTATATATAATTAAATCATATAGAGCTTTATTGTGACATGTCATGAGTTTGGCCTCAGTCCAAACTCTGTGAACTGTAGTACAGATAGTCTGATGTAGGTATAGGGAGTAGATTATCCTAAATAAGAGTAGATTTGGAAGCAAAGCAAGAGAAAAAAAGTGGATGCATTGGTGTTACAACTTTAAAGAATAGAAAAAGGTCTACTAAGCTAAAAGAGATGCCTTAGTCAGATTGAAAACTGTTTTTGCAATAGGAATCACTATTTGTTACCTTTTGCTTACATGGAGATAGAATAAAACCTTTTATTGCATTGATTATACAATGCATTTTCTTTTGATTCTGCTCCATTTTTATTTTCCTGTCAGAGCTTTGCAATACTCTGAAGATTTCCAAATAGGTTTCATACAGGAGGATCAATGGGGGCACACAATATCCAGCATTTGCATCTACTGCTGAGACTATTTCTGATACTGGAGATGCTTCAAGATGGTAGGCACTTATTTTGGTTTGCAAAAGTAGTTGCTGGCTTAAACCTCTTATTTAGCTTATTGGATTTATACTAAATGGAAATGTTAGAATTGACCTACTGCGGGTAAGGAGTTGACATATAATGACTTTAAAAGTTCAAACATTACATTTAAGCACAAAACAAAAACTAATGTCATATTTTTTATGATTTGACATGAGCATCAGCAGATATAATGGCATTCAATTTAATCCTAACACAGGGAGCCATTATCGTTGTCATATGGGGGCCTCCTATAGGTTTGACAGGATTGGGATCTGGAGAAAAAATTGGTTTGTCAGATTTGAAGTATAACTCCTGTTGTTTGTGGCTGCTGTCACAGTGACAACACAGCAGGGCTTTAAGACTCCCATGTGTGGCACAGCATGTTAAAGAAGACTTGGCAGCTCTAAACTCTGGATGTCTACTGAGGCATGCTCCTGGCAGAAAGCTAACCTGAGCAAACTAGAGAAGAACCCTGCTGTCAAAAATCTGACGTAATATTTAATACGACGACATCAACACATCCTCTTCTGTTTTGGTCCTTATAGCTAGGAAGCTGGCTCTTATTTAGAGCAGCAGTTATGGCCGTGACAAAGGTTGTTTTTAGAGTTCATGACATATTTCCCATTTTAATAAATTGTGGCATGCTCAGCCTGTATTTAATCATAGGTTTTCACTGCAGCATTCCTTAGCATTTTTGGAAAACGGAGAGCGGAGGGAGGAGTGATTTATGAGCTTCTTTTTTGCTGTGGAAACCAAGTCATCTGACCCATTTCCCAGGATGAAGCCCCCACCCCAGAAACATTTCCCCCTACTTTGCCTTATCTCATATTTGACTCCATCAGACTTAATTCTCTTATCCAGCTGAAAAGGTTTCGGCTGTAGGAGTTGTAGAGTGCAAAACTCAATCGCTTTTTAAGGTTTTGATTTAAAAACATCTCCAGCTTTTAAATATGACTCACTAAACTCAAAGTGTTTTAGTCTGTACAGTCGCACTGTGAGGCCACTTCTGCATTACCTCAGTGATTATTTCAAAGTGTTGCTGAAGCTCTTAAAAAATAAAAAATAAATTCAGATCTGCTTAAGCTGAATACAAAGAACTGCACAGACTGCTGCTCTGGGGGCACCTGTCATTAAGCGGACTGAAGACAAAGACACGGCAACCTTAATGGAAATATTAAAGCAATGGTGGACTCACTGCCCCCCAAAATGGAGGAGCAGCCAAATTAAATATCCTGCCAGTTGCAATAATAGCTGCTGGGACTGTCACCACTGTAACACTTCAATCCATCTTTAACTGAATGTGTGCAGTAGATGGATACTTGTGTGCTCTCCTACTTGTTTATCTTTGGGATTTCATGCACACAACAAATGAGGGTGATGGTTCGATGCCTTTCACACCAGGACACCACATTCCTGCTGTTTCTCTCACCTCAGTGGCAGAGGCTCTGCTCCGACTGATCCTTCCTCACCTTACATGTGTATACACCTAGAAGCAGTGCTTCAGGACTTTGGGAAAGGAGGCAGAATAAAGCACATTGAAAAAAGGATTCATGCACTTTAAACGCTTTCAAATTGATCATGTTACAAAAGCAAAGCGTTTAATGTGGATGTTTTGTTACAGACCAAATAAAAAATAGAGCATAATCCTCTGCAGCTCCTCCAGAGTCTCTGAATGATGCTCAATTTTCCCTGCTGGTCAGTTTAGCTGAATTGATGTCTCAAGGTTCACCTAAGAATAAAATTTTTGGGCTTCTACTTGGGACGTAGAAAACATTTTGAATGCTGCAATTCTGTACAAAACATAAAAAAATAAAATAAATAAATAACCAAATATTTTTCATATGTAAAGAAATATAAAAATCTTTCATCCTTTCCCCTTCCTTCCCATTTCTAAACTAAAACCTGCTGTTCTGTCTGATAAAATAAAAATGATATACTGAAAGGTGCGGTTGTCATACTAAAAATGTGAAAAAGTTCAAAAATATTTTCACAAGCCACCCAACCAGGCCATTTCTGGTTATTGTTTCCAATCTCCCCATCTGCATCACTGCAGTGAAAATCTGCCTGGCTGGACCCACTGGGAATCAAACTCCCACTCTCTGAAGCATTAGCAAACAAACTGTGGGTAGAACTGCAACATAAGAGGATAAACAGAGATGAAGGAAGTGGGACGTACCTCTTTCAGGGTTATCTTGCAGTTATAAATGATATTGGAACCATCTCTTTTGAAGTGGGCATGCCCCCTGTCTTTAAGTACAAACACTATGTCGGCGGGAATGTTCTCCGGGGTCTCGTCCCCCTCCTTTGGGAAAGTAATCTTGGTCCCCTCCTTCCAGCCCTTCTTGATGACAATGTTGAGGATCTTGTCCTCTGTCCTCATGCTACGCCCGTCTGGATTCAGCCTGCGACGAGTGATCTTCATACGCTTGGTGCAGCCGTGAAAGATCTCCTCCAGCGAGACTTTCAGCTCATGAACCACTGGAGCATCCTGGTGCTTACGGTTGGTCCCCACACGCTCTGATGAAGCTGCCCCCCTCCTCCTGCGGCCCTCCCCTGGAAAGCCATTGTTCATTCCTCCTGGAAAGCCAAACTGTCTCCCAAAATGAGCAAAGGGGTCATCCTCATCCATTTCTGCATCCTGCTCTGCTCCGTTGCTGTGATCACCGTGGAAAGGGAAACCGTTGGAGCGGCTGTGGCTGCGGCTGGAGCCGAAGAACACATCGAAGGGGTTGGATCCCCCGAAGAAGGAGGCAAAGGTGGCATGGGGGTCTCCATGGAAAGTGTAGTGGTGCGTCGAGTTCCCAGGAACACCTGAAGAGCTGCTGCCTCCTGTCTTCAAACCTACAACAAAACAGATTGTGAGGAATCGCTTTATTATAAAGCACAAATTAAAAACATCCTCTAACAGCTTAAACAGAACATGCTGGGAAAGTATGGTATTAACTATTTTACTAATGTGAACAAAATGATTTTTGGATTTTCTGACTCATTGTTTTCAATTTCAGACAAGCACAAAATTATACATGTAACCAAATTATATATGTCATAAATTAAGCATAATGTTTGCAGGCATTATATTTATATTTCTTTTTTCCTTAGATTGTATGAAATAAAGTAATCATTCATTCATTCAATTTTCTGAAGGCAAAAATGTTTATATTAGGGCTGATCCATCCATCCATCTAATACTGCCTATTCTATCAGGGTCGCGGTTGGGTTGGTCCCTAACTCCAGCAATAGGTGAGAGGCGGGGTACACCCTGGACAGGTTGCCAGTCTGTCGCAGAGCAAGACAGAGATGCAAAAAAGACGTACACCCCTGCACACACACACTCACACCAAGAACAATTTAGAGATGTCATGTGTGTTAGGAAGCCAGAGTACCCAGAGAGAACCCATGCATGCGAGGGGAGAAAATGCAATCTCCATGCAAAAGACTTTGGGCCGGGATTCAAACCCAGAACCTTCTTGCTGCAAGGCAACAATGCTACAAACTGCTCCACTGTGCAGCATCCATTAAGCACTCATTTGTATCTAAATAACATTTTATATCTTTGATCTGCCCTATCACATTGATTTTAATATTTTACCTATCAGCATTTTAGTTTTTGACATAGAACTACATAAATACAAACAGGTAATAGGCCCTAAATCATTGGGAGTTACTGGCTGCTCCTTTTGGGGCTGCCTGGACCCCATGTAGGGAATTGCTGTTTTCGGGACAGGGGTCACGTTTAGGGCTAAGGTGTAAATTTAGTTTAGGTCGGGATTAGGGTTAGGTATGAAAGGAAATTCCCCGCAAAATACAAAGGTTATTACTTTAGGTAGTTGCCAAATTGAAACTTCTAAAATTTGTATTTATTTAACAAAAATTGAAATTTAGGTGTAATAAAAATTTGTGAGAACATTAATAGCGGACTATGATGACAAACACTGTTAAGGTCCATTTGTAAAGGAAACAGGAGCTTGCCAAAGGTTCCTACGTCCGCATTGAATATGTAAAAACTGGCAATGAGGGAATGAACATGATATTTTGACTTTATATGGAAAACAAAGGTTTGTTACCTATTTGCAACAAAATACCACTGCATTATTTTGAGATTCATGCAGCCTAAAGATAAGACAGTTATTTAGGCAATCTACGGTAAACATTTTTTTTTTATAAAAAGAAAAAAAACCTAGAAAATCGACCATTGAATTGTATGCTCTTTTGAAATGCTTTTTTTTCCCTGAAAGTCTGCAAAACGTCAGATACCAGACAGAGAACCCAGCTGAAAAAGCGCACACAGAGGGTAGATAACAGCTGAGAGAATGAACCAAGCGTGGGCAGGAAAAATCCCACAGCATCACCGATCTTCCAGTTCTGCTGCTGGTGGAGGAGCAACGGCTCAAACACGAGGTCATAGCAAACAACAAGCTCACACAAATACACACAAACGTGCGCAGAACACCCACGGATGCAAACCACAGCATTTGCTCCTATTCATATCTCAGCAGCAGAACGATCTTGAGCCACCTGTCTGTCAGGAAACACGGACACACACATTCATACACACACCAAACCAACAGCTGAGGTGAACCATAAGTTATTGGACCTTGTGATGGTTTTTGACACCATAATAACCAACAATCACACACATAAAAAAGCATGGAGGAGATGGAATTATTACTTTAGTGGCTAGAGAACAATTTTGCGATATTAGATCTGTGCCTGAGTTATCTCGGTTGTAATGCCTTTTGGCTTCTCAGGCAGAGCCCTGCAGGCATCTCTGCATGTTCTATGAAGGTTTTCTTTCATTGATCAAAGCTTTAGAAGAAGAGCAGGGATCATTTCTTCCTCACCTTCCTCTCCCAGCTGGTCGTAAACCACCCTTTTCTTTGGGTCGCTGAGTACCTCATAGGCCTCTGCGATTTCTTTGAATTTCTCTTCCGCATTTGGATCTGTGTTCTTGTCTGGGTGGAAACGCAGTGCCATGCGCCGATAGGCCTTCTTGATCTCATCCTCATTGGAGCCCTTGGTGATTCCAAGGGTCTTGTAGTAGTCCTTCCCCATAGCTGCAACTCTCAGGACTCAGAAGCCCCCCTCTTCAGCTCAGACTGTGCTCTAACACTGGTGAGACATAAACACAGAATAAGAGTTTTTATAACTACAGAATATGATTGAAAAGCAGATTTATTCCATTAATCCCATTGAAAAAGTAAAATTCCCATACATTTTATTACAGATAACTATAAATTGCATCAAGTGAGAACCCACAGTTCAGTTTCTCACACAGTAAGCATAAAGAATAAGAGCAATAAGAGTCTAATGTGGTTATAAGGCCTTATGGTGAGGCAAACTGATGTTTATGTAGGTTAGTCTATTGAGGGTCTGCTGCACCCCCCCCCCCCTTTTTATTTATTTATTTATTATTATTATTATTTTTTTGTTTGTTTTTCCCCCTCCACCTTGTGTATATGTACTTTGGGTTTTTGTCTGGTCAAGTTTAATTATTTGTAAGTGTATATATGTATGTTTCTTGTTTTCCTGTTAAAATCAATAAATAAATGTTTAAAAAAAAAAAAATAAGAGTCTAATGGAGGGAAAAACTATGCACATCTGGCAGGGATAACCACACACTTTAGATAATCATGAAGCAAAGCCCTTTAAATGTTTTGGAGAAATTTAGAAGGTGGGGACAGCACTTGGACGTAACACGAGACAACTTCAAACTACCTGGACAAACTGGAAAGAGACTAGAAAAATGCACAACGGTATATATTTCTCTTTTCAAATGAAAGCAAATTTTTGATTTACCAACAACCCAGAGTCTAGAGGTGGAAAAGTTTGGGCGCATTCAGCAGCCATGCCTTAAGATCACGTGAAGCTCATGCATTACAGCTTCCTCCACTTGCTATCGGTGGTTAATGTGTTGCTCGATTTGTTACGAAATTTTTGTTTTCGGTGTAGATTAAGACATATGTAGCATTTGTTGTAATTTTTATCACATCAAAGGAGGACGATAAAGCTAAGTTAGCTCTAAAAATATTGGCCCACAAATATCGGCAGCACTTATTGATTATATTGATCAGTTAGACCAATAAATAATCGGTATCGTAATTTACCTTAAAAAGAACCTGTGTGGGTCGATCTCTAAGTTCTTTGATCAATTGTAAGGCTTTGATTGAAGGATTTTATTTTGAAAGTGCCTTTTCACAATGCTTATTAGAAGAAATTTTCCACTTGAGAAAGAAACAAAAGATGACTGATGGAGCATCACAGTAGTTATACCAGGCTGCAATGAAGAGAAGCTGTCATAGTCTTAAAACAGGCTCAGTGTCAATCATTCAAATGAAAAGGTTAAATGTAGAATAAAGGAGAAACAACTAGATATCAGCCTCTGCAGGTATAAATGCAACTTAGCCGCCTTTTGGGCACTGTTCAATTTAAAGCCTTAAATTGACCCCTAGCTTTCTGATCAATAGATGACTATAATTTACCCAATGAACAACAATCAGCACTATTAAAGCAGGTACTTTTGTAACATCGTCACAAAAAGGTGTGTGTTTCTTCAAAATAAAAGCACCTCATGTTTACAGCAATAGGGAACTCAAGATTTACAAGTATTGACTAATATTTAGTTCAAAAGTTAGCATATGGATTTGGTTAATTAAGCCAGAAACCACCTGAAGCAGGGGCTAAATCTGGGTGTGGTGATGGACTCAGACCTGAACCTTCAGAGGAACAATCTATCACATGAAGAACATCACAGGATTATAGGTTAATGTCTCAGCAGGGCCTTGAAAAACAAATGTATGCTTTCATCTTCAGTAGAAATGATTACATCAATAAAGTCTTCACAGTTGATGAGCTGACCCAGCATGCTGCTGCCTGCATCCTCACTAAAACTAAGAAAATGGAGCACATCAGCACAGTCCTAAAATCATTACACTGGCTCCTCATATATTAAAGAATAGAGATTTAAATAATTCTCCAACTGTATAAATCACTGAATGGCTTTGCAAATAAATACATTCACACATCAACATCCCAGATCTATCAGGTCTTCTGGCTTAAGTCTACTCTGTACACCCAGAACCAGAACCAAAGAACGAGAATCAGAGTTTAGTTCCTATGCTCCTCTGGTCTGGAATAAACGTCCAGAAAATTGTAAAAGTGCTGAAACTCTCAGTTGCTTTGAAACAAGATTACATTGTTGAGATTGGACTCATTGTGAAAACATTACTGGTTTAAGGTTTTAGTCCAAAACATTTTTTTTAACAAATCATCTTATCTTTTTTTAAATATAATCATTTTTTTTCAATTGTTCATTTTGATTCTCTTTAAATATTTGCATTTCCTTTATGCCACGCTGTTGTATTTTTCATGCAGCACTTTGAATGGCCAAGCTATTCTGTTTTCCTTTCACTTGCAAGTTTATATTTGCAGTATGTTTAATATTACATTCAGTCATGTTAAAAAAAAAATCCACAGCAATTTATTGCATTTTTATGGTTTAAAAAAAAGACATTTGCATTTGTGTCAATGTTATTATTGTGTTAAAGTGAGGATATAGGATATAGATATGATTTGAATTCATAAAACAACAATGCAGTGGAATCTAGTTGTCTTTATATTTAGCTAAGACTTGACTTGTAAAAATGAGCTTTGAACAAAGAATAAAGTTTCTCCAATTCTCTAATCTCCTAAACTGGTAATAATGATAACAGGTCTTAGCTGGAAGTCGGGCCCAAATAAAAATCTGCTAACGGGCCTCAAACAACAGTGGGCCGGCCCTGGACATGACATGCACCCCCCCTTAAATATCTCCTTTGGAGACTGTGAGATGTTTTAAGTGATATGTTGGGAACAGGGAGTACTGGTTTCATCAACTGTTGCCATGGTGATATGGTGCTGATGCAGACTGAGATGGAGAGCAGAGGAATCCCCTTCATCTCACTGTAACCAAGAGGGCTTCTCCTAGTCAGCTCTACATGGCAGCACTGCTATATTTTACCTCCATCCACCTCCTCCTGGACTGCAGGAGGAATTTCTACTGTAAAAAGGAAGGAAATTGGGCAACTGCGGACCCTGCTGATAAACTACCATAATAATGTGTTAACTAGGCGAACAGGCAGGAGAGAACCCCATCACTGCAGTGCCTCTGTCCTTAGAGAGAAAATCAGTTTATTTTTCGTTTTCCGTATTTTTCGTGGTGCCTTTACTTAAAGAAACAGCTCCAATTTGCGAAGTAATGCCAAAAATATATTTTCCCGATTAATGCATGTCCATATATAGGCAAACGGTGGAATAAGTGAGGAAATAGCCCTACCAGAAAGCCCAGTCAGTGAGGAATCAGATCAGCATGGTCCGGCTCCTTTCTTCCCTTCAGCCCCGCCGTCTGCCCCGCCGCTCCGGTTCCGCTGCCTCCTTATAATATCCTGACGTCAGGACGCAGCACCGACCGGCGGGGATCACAGGTTTGGAAATAAACCAGTGACCAAACGCCTGCCTGAGGAAAAGCTCACTGCCAAATCTGTAGCAGAGCCCTGATGACGATGGGAGAGCAGGCAGGGTTTAAAGGCGTCAAGAATTTAACTCCCCGATTATGAAACAATTCATAAACTTAAGGATCCTTTAAAAGTGGATTTAAAAAATATGTCCTTACCAACCCTGTTACTGCTGCGTCTCTTCCTGGATATGTGTCTGAAATGAGGAGACTGGAGCGCAGACCCAGCCCCCTCAGCCGGTCTGCAGGGGCCACTTGCTTTTTTCTTTTTTTTATGTTATTGGATCCACTCACAAAAGACACAAACTTTCCCCCAAAGTGTTAAATCTATCTACTTTTGCTTTTTCTGTTCTTATATCCCCCCTCCAGGTAATTAGTTTGAGTTCACTCAGCAGAGACAGAATCAAGTTTGGATCCTGATTAAAAAATGAAATAATAATAATAATGTGGGTGTGCATGTCCATGCAAGCGGTGGTATAGTCGTGCCTGGTCTGAGTCATAAGATGACTCCACTCACACCTGCATCTTCACCATCACCATCTATCTGTTTAAGGGCAGCAACTATGAAATCACAGCATGGAGACACCTAATCACCCCAGCATAGGGTATGGCTTTATCTTACTTTTATTTCATGCATTTAATCCATTAAACCTTCATCTCTGCAGTAACCATCCAGTCAGTCAGGTATAAGCAGACTAAGTGGAAAAATGCACCCAGTTTTTCCTTCTTTTGCTAATCACTATTGCATCACTGCCAGGAGGTACAAGGATCAAATCCCAGTTTGCTTCTTCCTGCACCAGGTTTGCATGTTCCCCCTATGCATGAGCAGGTTCACTCCAGGTACTACAGCTTCCTCCACATTTACTGTTCCTTTTTGACAAAAAATTACTTTTAGAAGTACTTATACTGCACCATGCTTGTTACTTCAGTAATATCTTATGGAGGCAAAAACACCACCCCCACCACCAGCATTAAAACAAGCTGTGTGAAGTACAAAATGTAGGAATGATCAATAATAGCCATATCAAAGTGGTAAATGACACTGTTGGACCTTAATGGGGATAGGACCTGTATAACATACTGCTAACAACCAACTCTTCAGATCAAAACTAAGAGTCTCCACACATGCATAACAGCAAAGCCCCAAACCTCCACTTAAAATCTAAGTTTAGAAAGCCCTGCTAAAATTACCAGACCTTGACCCTCAGGAGAGAGCTTAAAAAAGAGATGCTTGCATGAGGACTCTTTTAAATATACTGTTCAACAATCAAAGCCGGAGGAACCGTTAAAAAGTATGTTTTTGAACAAGCTGTCTAAGAGGTTCTGCAGTAGATTATGTCAACCTTCAACAACATGTGTGCATGTCTTCACAATACCTCAAATATAATCTCTAGTTTTTTTTTCACATGCATCAATTTACAACACACAAAAAAACAGAGCAAGACATAATTATCTTAACAATTATGCATCAAAATGGGAGCGGACATATTTTCGCCGTTGTTTAAAACTTGACAAAAAATCAACAAAATATGAAAGAATGTTTTATTGCAGATGGACAGTCTCACACAATATCAGTCCAGTCAGTGAACAGGTTTGGAATCATGTTTTCAGAACCAATTGTTTTGAACTAGGGGGACACTTGTTTGTATTTCTGTTAAATCCATTAAAATAAATGTAACTGAAGCTAATTGAATGATTTGTAGTATTTTGATCAGAGGTCAATTTTCTGGTAGCCACTGGAACCAACGCTGGATGATGAAGCCTGTTTATCCTACATTCACAAACTTCCAATGCTTACTTTTGGAGTACTGCAGCAAATAATCACATCTCAGAGAGACCAGTTTTCCAGTAACACCCAATACATACTATCCATATGTTAACTAACTGATAGGATGCAAGAAAAATGGAGAGTTTACAGTGACTTAAACTGGAAGCAAGTGTTTTTAGTCCGAGGGAGCAACGATTAAGCTTTTTAGAACCCAAAATTCCAGACTGCTGTGAAAGAAAAGATTAAAATGCATATCATACTGACTTGTTAAGTGTGGTCAAGGTTGTATGATGCTGTGGGTCTGAGTTTCTTTTACAGCCTTTGGGAACCTCTTTTTTCTTTTTTAAGGATGCTTCTGTGAAATCCCATCATTTGAAAACAAAAAGCAAAACCTGGATAGGTCCGAAACCAGTTGACTTATTTAAACTAACCTGTTGACCCAGTGAAGGTTTTAGGTTTTAGTCTGGGACTAATTTTAGCTAAATATGACACGTTACTTTTATAGAGGCTCTGACTCATCGGTCCCCTTATCCAGAAATGACTCAACACAAGCTTTATGAGCAAAATGTTCCTTTTATCAGCTTATTTTCATGCCTGTTTAGAACTCAGATATTCGCTGCTTGGAACAAAGTACAATGATAAACATCCTGAGGGCAAAATAATTCCCTTCGACTTAATCAGTGCCCTCACTCCTGATATAAATAACAACCAGCCTGTCCCCATTCTCAGAAAAATATAGCATCACATTAGAGCAGCACCGGTGAAGGTCTGAGTCATTATTGATGACTTGTATTGTTAAGTGCTCATGAAGGTACACTCAGCAGGTTGAAGCGCTTCTGCTCGGATTGGTTGATGCCAGAGGAAGAACTAAAGAGCAAATAAAGACTCATTTAAGTTTGAGTCACTGGCGAGGCGAGGAGGTGTGAGAAAGGTGGGCGTCTGAATGGAGGAGTCTGTCTGACACACGCAGATATGCTGCAATCAAACACATGCACACACACACAAGCCTAGCATTCAAAACAATGTTAGCACATAGAGACTCTGCTGTAGAGGGACATTCCTGTGAGTCCAGCTGAAGAGTCCCTATGTTTTGGCAGCAGGAAGGGACTTCAGCTGTCCCAGGGAAGCAGCTGTTCAGCAGAGTTTGATTCATGAAGCCTCATCTAAGTCTGTGAGACTGATTTGCAATGAGGGAATCATCACAAAATTTAAATTTTCAGTATGAAGTGTCACAGACTGGCTTTGTTAACCCACATAGACACTAATTTTGGTTAAATGTGAATTGATTTCAGATTATTTTGATGTTCTCCTTAGGGCTGAAACAATTCATCAGATTAATCGTGATTACTCTATTATTGTAATTAATGTCAACTAATTTAGTAATCAATCGTTAACTGGAGTTTGGAGACTGTAAAATATACCTTTAGTTGACAGATCAAGCAACCCTTTAGCAGTAATTATACCAAAATTGTAAAAAAAAAAAAAAGAAAAAAAGAAATTTTATAAAACTTTTGCTTTTAAGATAAAAAAAAAGGTTTTTCATCTGTCAGTTTGCTCCATCCAGAACTCCTTAAGTGGAATCGTTTTAGTTTCAGCTGGTTTAAATTCGTGAAAAGTCTTCTTTAAGGAACCTTTTGCTATCCGATTATTAATCAAATAATCGAAAAAAAATAATGGAAAGATTCATTGATTTCAAAATAGTTGTTAGTTGCAGCCTTAGTTCTCTTTTATTATAAAAGGTTAGTAGATCAGTAAAAGCAATATATAAGTAAATGTTAATGTACAGCAGAATAAACCATGGCATGAAGAACCAATGAATGAGGGGCCACAGACAGGTTCCAGGTGTTACTATGACTCTCGGAGTTGATCATACAGCTACAGGTAGAAGTTAAGGACCTCTTTACAAAATGCAGGGACACCCTGTGGCCACCTGACACATTGATATGCAAGATGAACAGTATCGTTTCTAAATAATCCCTCTAATTATTTTTTGTCCATATATGATTTTAGAAGACAAATTGATAACAATAATGGTGAATGCATGTAGCTTTTTAAGAATGCAAGAAATAAAACAAGCCTTGCTAACCAATATAGGCTGTAACACCAGTCAGAAGATCAACTTCTCTGACTAATTAATGGCAGAAGTTCTTGCATGGCTGATCATTCAGAGAATGAAAGGATGTTTCTGTGTCCTGATGACTAGTGATCAGTGATGAGAGTTCATTCACAAGCTGTTCTGATGCTGAGTGAGTGCTGAAAAAGCCTGGGAACAGCTACTCCTGATCTGACGCTGCGTTTGCACACTGACATAGGAATCTGCCAGACAGCCATGTGTATGCCAAGAATCTCAGCCGTTGCTCCTTTGAGAACATGCCCATGTACGCAGTGTGTGCAACACAAACCTGCAAAACTAATACTTAAGAGCAAAGTTTTACTATGATCCAAACTACTTCAGTGTACTTCACCAGCTGAGACGGCAGAACTGAAGGTGGAATAAACAGTGAGAGACAAACAGACCCGGGTTGAACAGAACACTCTGAGGCTATTTTTGAGACATAAGAAGAGGGAGTGATGAGTGTCTGCAAGCTTCTCCCACCTCCTCCATCCGTACCATCTCCTCTCTCTCCCTTCAGCTGTCCTGTAACCATAGAGACCACTGGTGCCTGAGCAGAGGTTTCTCTCTGGCAGACGTGTTGGTGTCAAATGAGGATGCTGGATGGAAGTATGCACATAAAAGCACATATCTCCATTTAGAGACAGCCCCCTGATTTTCCTTGAACAAAAGCTCCTTTTGTAAATTGAGGACATGTATTGTACCTCAGGAATAATAACAGCATGTGAAAGAGAGTCACATTTAAGCTTGTCAGAGAAGGAAGCTGTTATGGCTGCATAAAAACTAGAAAGTTTGGGCATTCAAAAATTATCTTACACCTTAATAAAATAGTGATTCCTTAACTGAGAAACACCAAAAGGTCAACAGGGTTTGTATATTGCTAAAATGCAAATACTATAATGTTTAACACCACATTATATAACCTGGGTCTGTTATGATGTTACATTTTGGTCATGTTTAAGTTTTTACTTTGGGTTCTCAGTTGTGCTTTATTTCATGATGTTAATAATTTATTGAACTTTATTGATCTCACACTGAAGAATTCTACCTCTGCATTTAAGTTTTTAACCCATCCCCTTGGGAAGTAGCGGGCTGCCATCGTGGGGCACCCAGGGAGCAATCAGGGGTTAAAGGTCTTGCTCAGGGAGCAGTCTGTTGTGGTGAGTTTTTAACTTACAATGTCAGGATTCCAAGCTGTATGCTCTAGCCACTAGGCCAAACTTAAAAGTTATTGTCTTTTGAAATGCATTTTTTTTCCCATCTTAGCAGCTGTAAATAAATAAAGGTAACAACTATAAATCTCGAAATTCTTACTTAAAAATCAAATTTTGTTATTTAAAGCTTATTGTATCAGAGAATGTAAATTTGTAATCTAAATTTTTACATAACCCCTTTTTGTTTTAGATACAATTACATTTAAAGTTTTGAGCTTTCATGGTTATTCCAAGTAGCAAATGTTGCGCTTGGCCTCACCATGACAGCTCCAGGCCCTCATTACTGGTAACTTAACTATAGGTCAACGTTTAACTTAAATAAGAATTAAACAAGTTTTGTTTGTTTTTTTGATTGACAGCATCTCTTTAGCATGAATTTGTGTTGTTGAAATTGAATATTAAAAGAATATTGAGTCTGTAACGGAAAAGCTAACTCCAAAAGATGATTTTCTTGCATTTCATAATAAAAACATAAAAGTTAACTAAACTTTCACCTTTTGAAATAACCAACAACTTAAACATATAAAGACTGGCGACTCACTTGATAAAGTTTATGATTGCAACTAGATTGGTTTGCTGAGCTGACTTAAATTACTGTCCTTGTATTTAACACTTTTTCATTTAACATTTTAGAAGACATTAAAATTACATTGTACTGTCCTTATGATAAAGATGAGGCTTTATCATAAAAGGATGAGGAGGACATTAGGAGGCCCTGAATTGGCTGAAATCTACCCGACCCCTTCTGTGTTACTGTTGGCAGAAGATAAAACAAAGAATGCAGGAAGTCATTATCTAAGCATCTGATTGCAGGCAGGGATGATTTGGACACAGGAAAAATACTTTTCTCTAACAGGAAGGAGAGATACATAAGAGCATGGAGAGAGAACAGAGGAGACAAGATGCATCATATAAATTATAAATCTGATGTTTGTAGTTTAATTTTTTTTTACATGTTTCTCAGCTTAGATTAAAATGCATATCACTGTCTCAGGCTGTAAATTTATTTCTGTTATTATCAAACCTAACTTAAATGCTTCAGAGAACTTATACCTTAACTTGAGGCCGATCATTTTTCTTGTGTCTTTTTCTAACCATATTGTTCCAAATCCAGTTTTGATATGTTTGATCAAATATTAATAATCAGACAAGACAAAGAAGGATCTGCTTAACTAAAATAAAGAATGTTTGGAGTAGTTAATGTTAAACCTTCAGAACTAAAGGCATCAATTGTGATGGAGAACTACCTCCATTTTCAACAACATCATTTCAAATCAACAATTAAGATGTTAGAAACTTGAACCCAGTTTCTGATCTAACAGGAGTGAGACCCAAACCAGGCTCACTGCTGACTAAATTCAAAATTATCTAAATTGTGTTTTTCCCTTATTAAAGACTTCAGTTTAACATATAAATTGTCGTGTTAGTGTATGTAAACTTTTCAAATTCTTTTCTAATTATGTCCAGGAATGACTTGTATAATGGTCCTTTTAGTGCTTATAAGGTAGCAAATCCCTGTAATTTTAAAGGTTATTTTTAAAGTTTATCTAGCTTTCCTGATAATTTTGATAAGTCTCTGAAGTTTCATATCGTTATACAGCAGGTATGGTCTGTCAAACTCTAAACATAGCAGTGATACATTCAGTCAACTTTATTTATTTGTCTTTCCTCCACGGTGCAGCTTGGCTCTGCAGCCCCCCCACTTTGTGCAGCAGAACAGTTCTCCATCAGTGACTCATTAAAAGAAAAAATGAAAAAGCTTTCAACATTAACAGTCCCCATTTAACTCAGACATCAGTAACAAAGCGAGCTTCAGGCTGCTGAAGAGCAGCTCCACTGTTCTTGAGATGCAAAGAGTAACAGGAGGGTAGTTTAATGTTAAAACAGTGATCAGTTTAAAAAAGTCTAGAGTTCTGTGAATGTTAAATTAAATGACAGCTCATGCCCCCCACCCCCTGACTGTGATAAATACCTGGCGCATTAGCTTTCTGGACTTGCTGAGCACACACTGCTTTATAAGGAAGCTAAACGACTGGGCATAGAGATGGATGGGACCAGAGTTTGGGTGAAATGATCAAAAGAAAAAACAAAACTATTCTTTGGCAACTACAAGTAGAGCACTTTTGGCTTGGCATTAAAAACATAAAAACATACACACCCCATTTTAAGACCATACTACTAAAATTAACGTACTACTAGGTCTGTCTTTCCAGAGATCTGTGGACGCCTTGATCTTTTGTCTGCAGAGATTCCATATGTTGGTGAGAAACTCACACCGAAAGTCTAGCGCTGATTTCTGATTAGCAAATGCTGCTTAAATAATTATCTGACTCTCTAAAGCATGAAGAAAACATGCTGTAAGCAAACTGATGAGGTGGGAACATATGGGACAAAAAGTAAAGTGCTAAAATGTCTGAAATTGGCACAAAATAAAATCTCTAGATTTCTGTTAAGCTTCATGATTTGTCACCAGTCAGAATTACAGAAGTCTTAAGTTAAGGATCTGTGTCACTACTTGGGAACTTTGTGCTCATGTATTTGTTTGTCTCCAGGGATACTCTCCGGGAGCCAAGAGTCCTTCATATTTCAAGCCCTTGCCAGGGAAAAAAAGTCACGGTAAACGAATGACGTGCAGATATCCGAGGTCCGGGTACAGGAGGTTGACCAGCAGTGCCAGGAGGCGGGGCCCATCTCTGACACAATGCCCTGGGTAACGGATGAATTGGATGGCCTTATCTAAAGCCTCTTGTAGCTCAGCGTACTGCTTATTGCTGGACATGGTCTCCAACATCAGCAACATCTGCGCCCACAGAGGGACAAAACAACAAATCAAGGAGTTAGGTTTAAGGAAAATATTACACAGTAGCATAAATAAAGCTGGGGTTGTACCAACCTGTTGTGCTTTTGCAGAAAGTTGTAAATCTGTGGTGGGTTGGAGTCGAAGCTCGGTCTCTGATGGCACCTGGATGGACAGGAATGCTGAAAGGCTGCGGACCACCACCCTGAATCTACACAGAGACCAGTCATTTACTCACAGTGCCTAACCTGGGTTTCTGTAGGTAAAATCTATGACTAATAACAAATCTAGTTACTAGCTCCACAGGCACAAATTCTTTAACGCTTATAAGATTTACTTTTAGTATACTACTGACATCACTGTTTATAAGGGAGAGAAGATTTGGTCTGTATGTCTTCTAGGGCTGCAACTAATGGTCATTTTGCAAATCAATTATCTGTCTGTTACTTTTTTGATTAATGGATTAATAGTTGGACAGCAACAGGTTCCTTACATAAGCTTTTTACAGAGTTAAGACCAGGTGAAAGTAAAAGTATTCCCTCTGAGGGTAGTTGTGGATAGTGTCATAAAACTGGACATATGGAGCCAGTATTCACGGTAAGACAGGCAGCGGGAAAGTTCAAAGCATTTATTTACAGAAAAAAGAGCATAACAGAACTGAACAGAAGCGCAGAGCTGTGGATCTGAGGATCACAGCGGCTACAGGGGGGCGGGGCGCAACCCATCACTGGCACTCATATATATATATATATATATATATATATATATATATATATATATATATATATATATATATATATATATATATATGATAGACATCCTGCTAATCCAGCCTCTAAGGGTTTATTCTTGTTAATACCATTGATGGAGGCTCACCTATTAGAAACAGGGGACCTCTTCCCGAGGCCTATGGCTCCCAGCAGCCCAGAGTTCAGCCTCTCTTCTCCCAGCTGAAGCAGCCTGCCCTGCAGCCGTGCCAGCCCCATGATGACCCCTGACACCTCTGTGTTTCCGGCCTGAGGCTGCAGCTGCTCTACAGACAGGTTCAGAGCTTTGTGCCACCAAAGGAACAGCTTTGCTTCATCTCCTGGACCACTGAGGATGGATGAGAACCACTATATTACCCTTTCTTATCAGGCTGCAGGTAACAGAGCAGTTGGAATGAATTAAGGTCCAACCTGGGAAAGACCTGCATGGTCCATGTGTTGATGAGAGCAAGGATCCTCCTCTCATTGGCTGCTGTGTATTCACTATTGAGGCGCTGCAGAATGAAGGCATAGAGGGTCAGGAAGCTGCCTCCTGATTGGCTCTCGGAGAGGAAGTCGTCCATTGTGAGTTCAGGCACCTGCAGTGACGCCAACACAGGGCCCCAACCTACAGACTTTTCCTCAACTTAAACAAACAACAAGAAAGAAGTTCAGGAATTACACTGATTGTTAAACTGGTTCTTTCAAAATCTAGCAGTGAGGAAAAAATAAAAACATAATCCTAAGTTAAAGACTAACAGGGATATACAGTGGCACATTATTTTGAAAAGAAAGATGACATGATTAATCATTTTTTTTCTAAATAAAAATCTAAAATGTGTTGTAACCTGCTTTGCTTCGTAGAACCACCTTCAAATCTTTAAGGGTAGATATTTACCAGCGTTTACATCATAACAAAGACATTTTTGGCCAATCAGACTGGATGAGGAGCTTCTGTATTTTTTTCAGTCACGCCCCAGCAGTTAAACTGGATTTAAGTCTGGACTTTGACTGGGTCATCAACATACTTTGTTCTACTTTATTCCACACTACCTCTGTCTGTATGCTGAGGGTTGTTCTACTGAAAGGTAAAGTCTCTGACTCAGTCTCAAGTATTGGAGACTCCAACATGGTTTCATCCAGGATTCTCCTGTATTTAGCTCCCATCAACTCAGCCTCCCTGCCCCCTCCTACTCTGAGCCGATGGTGTCTTCAAGGTTATATTATGTTTCAGCATTTGTTCTCACTGACCAAAGCATCATCTTTTACAAATTTGCCCTCTAAATGGCTCTTGGTAAACCTTATTCTCGTGGATTGCTTTCAAAATCGAATTTTTTAAAAGCCATGCTGATTTCACTTTCTGATGACTGTTTGAATTGCACTCTGTAAGATGGTCAAAGCTTTGAATTTTGTTTAATTACCTAACCCCAAGCTGAATTCTTTACGGTATTTGTTTTTCCACAAATACATGAGAATCCATCTCTTCCTGCCAGCCTCAAAACATGTCAGCCAATCGGGCTGCAGTATTATGACTTAAAGGCGGACATAAAGCTGTGACAAAAGCAAGAGCTGCTGAGCCCACGGCCAGACCAAAGTAAACATGGCCATGCAGGAGAGATTTAATCTGTGAAAGAGGAAGAATGTAAAAGTGTGATGTGGTGGTTTCTCATGGCGTCTACTGGTATTTTATTTGTTACTGTGATTAGTTAAAACCAAAGATTGGTGGGTGGGCATTAGGTGTTGCGTTGCCCAATCAGCTCGGAAGGTTCTGCTCAATGTTCCTCCTTTCCCAAACAGATTTAAAATGTGCTCTACACATATTAATGTGCAGAACTAAATCAGAGTGCTAAGTATTATCAATCTGGCTTCACAGGTTATTCTTAATCATCTTTACCGCTTTTTCCCTGATCCGTCTGCTGTGATTCTTGGTTTTCTTGATGCTGGTTATTCACTAATCTTCTCTAAATAACTTCACAAAAGAGTTTTAACAATACATTTACTGCTCACTAATTAACCGACTTTAGAATGCAACTGGTTTCACTGGACTCCCTTTTATTTTATTAGAGTAAAAGGAAATACATAACAATTAATTGAACAGTGTCTAGGCTTTTGTAAAAAACCTAGAAAAAATGTTATTCTTTCATTTTATAAAGAATTGTTATTGTCATTATGAAAAAATATCAAATATCAAAGGAGAATAAATACCTTTGTAGTTTCCTATATCCTACAAGTTTATGTAGTGAAGTGAACAAATGAAAAGAGGGGTGAACCAAACTCTTGCTTACCATGGTTGAAGTAAGCCGCGATGCATGCCTCCATGATACGCGTCATGTGTCGCACTGATGCAAGACAGCGAGAGCAGGCTGTGAGCAAAGGAAGAATTGGACAGCCCTTCCCTTTCCTGTCCAGCCAGCCAATGACGTGAGCAGCCAGCGCCTCGCCTGTTGAGACCCCAACTCCATTGAGCAAAGTCAAGGCATCGCTGAAAAGAGCGCAGAACGCCATGTGCCTCTGCTCTAAACCCACCTCTGCAGAGGGAGGGAAACGTGAACACAAGGCAGGAAGACAATTACACAAAAAGCAGATGATGCCATCGTCAATAGAGACTGTCAGGCTGCTGAGGACAGCTCACCTGGTGGGTTGAAAGTAACAACGCTTTCCAGAAGTGTCTCTAGCTGAGCCTCCAGGCTATTAAGATTGATCCCACCTCCTTGCTCCAATGTCACCAGTGACTTCACAGACCAAGAGATGTAGCCTCCAGCCTTCAGGGTCTCCTCCTGACAGAAAAAGGATAACAGACGGTTTGCTTTCTCCACTTTCAGCTGAAATTATTTTTAATAATTAAACACATTTTTACAGAAACAGATTTGTAAAAAGAGGAATGTGAAACTCAATTCAAGTTGTTCAGGGGTGTTTTGCAAAGATTTTTATGCTTGTTCTATCAGTTAGCAGCAGGATCACCAAGACAAAGCACAGGAGCATTGACTTATCTGGTTACTTATCTAAAATAATTATAAGCACGGTTTTCAGTTGCTTCTAATCCAAATTTGGTAATCAGAGCTGGCAAATAATCTCGCTCATTAAAGTTTGAAATTACTTTAGATGATGCACGGCTCCTATTGGAACAGAAAATGAAACCCTCCAAAACCGCACCAAGTAGAACCAATATTCACTGGTTTAACACTTTGCACACAAAATAGTCTGATTATGCAATTATTGTCAATGATTATTTTTATATTTTCTATATTTATTACAAGTTTAAAATAAAATACAGCATCTTGAGATCAAAAATGTCTCTGGTGCATTTTCAAGACTCCACAGGAGCACAGAGAGGGTCAAGGATCTGCTGAAGACTAATGATTAAAAAGTTTCATCTTGTGTCCTCCATCAGGGTCATTACAAAAAAAACTTGGAAAATACATTAAAATGTTGATTTGGTGAATAACAACGTAAAAAAAGCTTTATTATGGCAGACCTGGTGTGGAGCTTCGCTGGGATGTGGATGGAGCCCTGCAGCCCCACGGAGTAATTTCAGAAGCAGCTGAGGGGCAGAATCAGCACTGAGCAGCAGAGATGGTTGGTAATGGGTACCAACGTATCCCAGAATGCCCTGGTATGAGGACAGGTCCATTTGATACCAGGGCAGACAGGTTGACTGAACCAGCAGACTGAGCAGAGGGGAGTCCTGTTGATTTAGGGGGAAAACATGAACTGAGTAAATATCTCTGACAATGACCTGTTTCCAGATAGATCTAGAATCACCTGTTTGCTGAGGAGCTGCTCTTCTTTGGCCAGAAACACCAGCATGTATAACAGATAGACCAACATGGTGTGAGAGTCCTTCTGCGTAATCAGCCCTGCCACAGCTGGATATGTTGCAGAGCTGGGCGGTGTCTCTAAGTGGTCGCTTAAAACACTGAGCCAGTTAACTTCACACATCAGTTCCCCCATAAACAGGAAGCAGCTCTTGGGACTTCCTCTCTCCACCTGAAGACATAAAGTTTAGTTAAAGTCTGCCCTGCCAAACACCAACAGACATGGGAGAGTTAAGCTTTAGCGGACTACTAAAAACACCTAGTCATACCTAGTTACATGTTTATAATGATGTTATCTTCTATGGCTGCAGAACCAAGGTTAATTCAAAAAGAGGTTGGTTGAACTTTAATTGTTTTTTCTTTTTAGAAGTGAATTTGCCATATGATTGAACTAAGGTTAAAACAGTTATTATTTAATCAATGCAATGAAAACATGGAAATTGCAAATATACAGTTATCAAACTGAGTCAATATATTTTTAAAAGGTTTCAAAATGAATTATAGTTTGTCAAATGTGGGTTTTTAATATTTTATTAAGAGGCTAATTCCTTATAATTTAATGAGTATTTGATGTTGGGGTAAAATGATTTTTGTTTTGAGTTTTACTTATATACGTGTTTGTGTTGTTAGGTTTTTTCACCTTTTTGGCCCAAAATAAAAGAAAGAAAGCAGTAATTGTTTGTTATTGAGTGAAATCCTGCATATAGTCTTCTGAAACAAGCCATAATTTCAAGTGGAGCAAACAACAGCTTAAACAAAAATGGATAATGGATCTAAAACATATCCCCAAATCATAATACACAATAAATTAACTCAATTGACTTATAGTACCAGAAAACTTAGGAGTGAACTGGTGGGGTGAGGAAAAAAGAAGTAATAGAGAGGATCAAAAATATAAAAGTGAAAAAAAGAACAAGTCATCACAGAATGACAAAGTAAGATGTGCATCAAAGTATATGCATGCTAGACCTAGTGATATATATGCACTGGTAATTAGGTTAAACATGGTCATATTTAAAAAAAAACTGCTATTTTCCTTTATTGATACTAAAATAAAAATGGTAGTTTCTACATTTTTTACTGTAAGATTATCCTGTTGCAACAAAAGGCAGATTTATGTTTTTGGCACATCTTTACCAGGGCTGCCAAACCAATATTTCTATATACACATCATCACTCTCTTAAATCATCTTCCTAAGGAAAGATTTATGGTTTTAGTTGTGTACGGTATTCAGTACTAGTAATGCTGGGTCATTTTTACATCAACGTTAATTAACCCCTTCTCCTTAGGAGCTGAAAGGATCTTAGAGAGTCCTGCTATATAGTCCTGAATAGCTAGCTCAAAGCTCTCCCGTAGAACCCGTCCCCAGACCAAATGCAGGAGGAGATAAACTCACATTGAATAAGTGCTCCATGAGCTGAGTGTCGGGGTGCAGGTGTTTCCAGGGCAGGCTGCGGAGGTGTGTGTGGTACAGGTAGAGCAGATACTCAGGCGTACGAGGGGAGGTACAGCTCTCACAGTACTGCATTAAACAAAGCCACAGAGCTCCTCTCTGACCTGGTAGCAGGCGATCTGAAAAATGAACATCCACAGAGACAGGATGGGTCAGCTGTAAAAACGTAAAAGAGAAGATGTTTGGATTCATTTGGTACTAGCTCTCAGAGTAAAACACCGATAAAAACATACCTCTGAATTTATGATGCAGTGTGTCAGTGAGCTGAACGTATAGACCAACCAGACATCCTGCTGCACTTGCATCCGTCTCCAGCCACGGGTAACACTTGGCATTACTGTGACACAGTCATTTATAAATTGGTATTTACTTTATTTCTACTTTTTTGGGAAAAATTCTCAAATATTATGTATCATGACTATATTCATATTTTAACTTTCCAATAGAACTTGCAATTGTTTATTACCAATGTATATTTCAAAAGTTATGTCAACTGGATGTTTGTCTGTGTGTTGAACCTTTGCAACACAGCAAAATCCTTGCATGTGTAAAAACGTCTGAAGCAACGAGTCGTTAGGTTCACTTTTCATTCAGAAACGATTTTGAATGAGGTCAGTAGTGTCGTATAGCAAAGGCAAATATTATATAAGGGCAAAGCCGAACTGGAGAAACTAAGTTAAAAAAAACAAACTGAATAAACAGTTATATATGAGTTAAAATTGTGTTTATAAACTATGATTAATAATTTTTGGAAACCGTTGAGTTTCAGATTGTTAATTTTGCAGTTTAAAATATAAATTTAACGTTTAGTCACAAGAGAGCCTCAGCATATGATTATAAGACACGTCTGAATACAATAGTTGTGTTGCTTACTAACAATGCTTTACTGTGGATACATGCTATATATGCAGATATAGAGGAACTACTGAAAAAAAATGTAAAAAGCTATTTATAATCACTCTTACTGATATCACAACAAATATAAAAGCATCTATAGTAAGCATCTGATGCAGAGAAACTCAGTCAAACTGGCTGATTATACATGAAGTGTAAATTATGATACAAGCGGAATACATAATGAAGCCCTGCTTTATTGATTGGTATTTACTAACTTTATTATTCATGCAAGCACATTTTAAAAGAAATACAGCATTTTTCCCCATCTAGAAAAAGCATCATAAGATTGGATATTGTAACACACTTACCCTCCATCAGTAGTGTCCAGAGGAAAGACCCACGGCGTAAACAACTTCACCAGCTTACAGTGTAAATCCTGCAGAGCTGTGGGAGGAATGACACATTTCTTCTTTCAAAATGACAGAAAGCAGGTTTTTTGCAGCTCTCTACAGTATCTTATCTTTTTACCTTTTGTTAGTTTGCTGCTGCCTACTGGTTCTCTGCTGCAGCTGATAAGCTGTGTGTTAATAAGGCAACCAATCAGATGTTCCCAGAAGGTAACAACGTCACTTATGTAGGGAACCCAGGCTGAGTAGAGGCCAAAGCTGCGGAGGTCGGCCTTACCAAGGCGGCTCCGCAGGAAGAAGTCACTCAGCCAGTTCACCGTCTCCTCAACCTGTTGGCAGCAGGAAAAACATGACCAAATTTGTATATTATACTGGAAGATATTTCATCTGCACCATGTTTTTTTTTTCAACAACAAAAAGGAAAGCTTGAATAAAAACTGACACGAGTTACCTGCTGAGGAGAGAGACTTATGGAGGATCTATGAGTGGAAGCTGGGACTCCAACTGCCGAGCTGAAGGACTGTTCAGGTTTGCCCTTACTGCTGCGGGATGGAGGCAAGCAACCCAGCACTCGCAGTGTCACTTTCCAGCACTCTGGACTCAACAGCTGGTCCGCAGAACCTTGATTAGGGTGGAAAATGCTTTTAATAAAGAAAATCCACATCGACACATCGAGATACAAGGAAAGAAATGTGGCAGCCTACAGATGAACACATAAATCAGCTTTAAGGATTTTTTTTTTTAAAGATTTCTATCTATTAAGAGGCTTTGAAACAAAGGCATGCTTCTTAAACTTTCTGAACCTAATATACAACCTTTCATTTGGTTTATTAAATGATTTTAGTCAAAGCTCAAAAACCCATATAGCATAGCAATGCAACTTATTTTACAAACTGGAGAAACTGGGTTTGAAAGATTGACTCTAAATGGTCCGCAACCAGTTAAATGTGCAAATAAATTGTGTTAATAAACTATAATAGACCATGTATGCAGTTGGGATTGTTTATTATGTTTATAGTTTGAATATTAATTTAACTTTCTAACAAAGAAAGGCCTTTGAAAAAAAAAAATCAAGGTTTTTCTAAGACTTTTTACCAATAATCTAAAACTGTATTGGTTTATTACTTACAATCCCAACAAAATCTGTTTACGTTTGTAGTTTTAATGGTTTTGCAAACAATAAAACACAAAAAAATGTCATATTCATATATGAATCAAGTCTTGGGTCTTACTATGTTGCATATAGGCAGCAAAGATTTCTTTTACAGGTGGGAAAATATAACGGAATATAAACAGACCTAAACCAAGCATTTATCGATATGTTCAAACAAACGTACTAGTCATTAGCAGACGCAGGCAGTCGCTGTAATGGTCAGGAAAATGGTGGCGTAAAAGCATGGTCCAGTGTTTGGCAAAGAGGTGAAAAGGCGTGAGAAGTTCAGGCTCAGGGTTTCGGCCGCAGACACACAGAGCGCCGTGGACCAGCTCCAGCAAACGGGTTCGCTCCGAGAACACGGGATGAGCCTCATTCAGCCACTGTGACAAATCAAACTACAAGAGAGGATGGACAAGCTGAAAGGTTATGTATACCTAATGTGTTTGGCACATTTTAATATCTTTATTTTCATTTGTCATTCCTCATGCCACCAAGTCCTATGCATAAAATAATATCTTGTCACAAATGTATCCCTCTTCCCTCACGCCTCCCATCCCACATCTAAGCGGCACCAACTGCCCACTCTTCTTGTCATGGCCTGAGGGTATAAACGTATACAACATGTATATTGTCCCAGAAAGTGTTAGCCTAGTTAACTAGACCCACCCGCCAGCAGCCAAAATCATTTTTGCCTGCAAATAGCTTTGAATTACTCATTTAATCTCACATTTAGTCTGGTTTATCAGGCTAAGAAAGTGTGCTTTCTATAATGCCCAATGCCTTCTCTATTAGTTGTAATCTAAAGTGGATATTAAATGCATTTTCCACCTTTTCATAAGATGGGCACCTTAAAGAACTTGGATGGACAATAAAAGAAAATAACGACATAAAATACAGGGGAAAAGATACATAGGTAAGTAAATAAATAAAGATATAATAATCTGTGAATGAATTGTTCAGCCTCCTCCTGACCAGATGAATAGAATCCTAAATTAACTAAAAATATTTGCACCCCTTTGGTCCAGTCTGGATCAATTGTTGATCAAGCAAAGATAAAAAGGAATTTAGCTTCAGATCCCTTCATAGTGTATCTATTTCTTTCTAATTGTAAATTAGATATTGCCTCCCTTATCCAGTTACAAAAGGAAAGTGGGAGAACATCTTTCCACATTAAAAGAATCAGACACCACGCTAGAAGAGTACAAAAAGCTATAATTTTTTTGCCCCCCCATGAAAACCTATAAATCGAGGTTGTTTCTGCTGATCTGCATCTGTTATATTCAGGATTAACATGTGAATACGTTTTAGCTAATTTAGTCGTTCCCACATCTTTTCTATACATTTGGACATGAGCAGACCTTAGTGAGCAGCATGAAAATGACATCAGCGGAGTCCAGGTGAAGGGAGGTCACCACGTCTTGGTAGAGGACGACAAACTGATCTGGAGCGGCATTTGGAGTGAAGAAAGGGGAAATGAGAGGACAGAGGAGCCTCTGCTCCAGGATGGTTTTTAGGACACGGCCGCACTCCTTTGGATTGCCCTGGATGAAAACCTGCACAACAAAAGCACAATCATGAATTTAAACTCATAAGAAAAGTAACAATATAACAGTAACATAAGAGCAAGTTTTCTCTCCGAGCTCCAGAAAGCAAAACTATCTAAACTCTCTATTCTCCAAACTGCTGAAAATAGATTAATGACAAACGCCTTAGGAAAAAAGCCACTCAGGCCGAGGAAACCACAATGCAGGGGGGATTTATTATTAAATAGACAAATCTTGCTGATTTAAGTGCGTGTCTGTTGGCGTTTGCTGCATGTTTCGCACCTGTCCGAGGATCTCCACACAGGAAGAGAGATACTGACGTGTTGGGGGGTGTCGCAGGGTGTCCTCATTCACAAAAGAGACCACCTGGTAAAATGCGGACACGCCCACCTGCTGCACTGCCGGAGAGTTCTGCACTTTATAAATATTCACCAGAGCCCTGAGAAAATAAAGCAGGAGATCTCTTTTAAATGAGATAAGAAGTCCGTATCCACTCAACTTTCCTTGTAGCAACGGTAGCTGTAGGTGGAGCAGAAAGGTAGATTTTTACTGACGTGATGAAGTTCTCAGTGTGGACTGCAGCCTGGGCCAGGTTCTGAGGCGGAGCAGCCATAGCATCGGTCTGCAGCTTCTTGATATCCCTGCGTAGTGATGTTATCTGGTTGTGCACCGCCTCCTGTCTCTGGACACATTCACACTACACAGACACACACATCAGAAAAATTGAGCAAAATCATCCTTTAAGCCATGATTTTCTCACCCTGAGATGCTCATACCGTGACGGTGATGTTTGCGGCTCCCTGACAAGGCTGCCCTCCCTTCCCTTTGCACTCCAGGGCCATGCTAACTTGCTCCGGTCGGTTCTTGAAGAGCAACGGAAGACCCTCCAACAGCTCTTGCTCCATCGCCACCTGCTGTGCTTCACGTGAAACTGCACTCCTAGCAACAAGGTGAAGTATTTTTGAAGCCAAGGGGGAACCTTTTTATTCCACAACAAACTGCAAGTGAGGACAAAAAACTGTGTGAATGTTACCTCGCCTGATCCTGTAAAACGCTGAGGTCCTGCTGTAAAAGTTTAGCGGAAGCTTTAGAGTCACTGAGGCAGGAGGGGGGAACCTCAGCCACTGGAGCCTGAAGAACCTGGAGCCCAGGGGCTGGAAGGGGAACCGGGTGCTTCTCCAGGTTGGACATAATGCGCTCTCGTCCTGGATAACCAACCACAAAACATAAGTGTTAGGATAAATAGATAAACAGTTCAACAAAAAGACGATCGGACGTTGAGAAACTGATTAAAGGATTGATTTAAAGAAGACGGATGGTCATGTGGCCAGACAAGGTGGATGCACCTGTGAAAACATTTTAAGGTACATCTGTACATACCGTTGCTGAGGCAGGAGTAGTCCGTGAAGCCAAGGTTTTGGTTCTGCAGGAAGGTTGGCTCGCTTTGCACCTTTTCCCACAGAGACAGCACCTCCTGCTCATCATACTGCAGACGCTCCTGGTCCACATACTCCAGCCACAGTTCCTTCAACAAAACATCCGGATAATTTGAAAAGTAATGAGCCATAATAGTTTAATTCTCTCCAAACCCGATGATGAAAGATAGGGACCCGCTGACCTGCTGCCGCTGCATGACCTGTGCCAGTCTGTGAGGCTCATACTCTGGTTGAAGGGAGGGGAGGTAAACTTCCTGCTTTTGCAGAGACTCATCATCCAACCACAAAGCAAAGACGCCAAACAGCCTGCAGGCAAACAATTTGTCAATTCACTACAGTATAAAGGCTTTACAACAACAGTGGTTGGACCAATTATGACCAATTTACCTAACAAGCTCTGAGTGGAGCTGTGGAGAGGTGAGGTAAGGCGGTTGAGGGTTATTCGGGCTTTCGTCCTCCTGACTCTCTGATGAAGGCGTCTGTGGTTGGGGCACCCTAAGAGCCTGACTCGCTGTATGGTGGAAATCAGAAACCTCTTGTATTCTCTGCCTCAGATCTTTTAGCAAAGCAGTCTGAGAAGAAGTCTGGAAGAACCTCCTGCCGATGCATCCCCCAGCAGCCAGCCTATAGGGCCACCAGTAAACAGAAACTTCTGTTCCATTCACTCTTTCCACTCACTATAAGTTTTTACTTTTGTTTAAATAAGAAATGTATCTTACCCATACTCTGGCCCAGGCTGTCTGAGATAGAGCTGTAGGAACTTCTGCCAGATCAGGGGAAGGAGGGGGTGGTCCGGTGGTGTGGCCAAGGCCTGGTAAGCCCAGCGATACACCTGAAGACGCTGCAGAGACGGAGCTACGGGGAGCTTCAGCTTCTGCTGCGCTTTCTAGCTCAGACACAGAAACACTGTTGTCATGTATCCCACATCCAATCTCATCAATTTAAAATGCCTAACAGCTAAGATACACTAGCAGTGTTCATATCTCTAATATGCTAACATTTTGTTTCCAAGGAACCAAACAGAGCTAATCAAATACAAGGTCTTTTAGGAAAGCGTCTAAAGTTCTTTTGACTTTCTCTACTTTTTTAGTTTTCTGGAGTCTAGTTCTATAGGTGGGGTTCACCACAAAAATATCACAAATAAGTCATCTGCAAACTTTTTTAGCTTTGAATGTTAGTCCATGTTGACAGACAAGGCTAACCAAAATTTTACTTTGATTATAAGCATTGTTGTCATTCATTCAAATTTTTTTTTTCTGTGTGAAATGATTTAACAGCATATAACTTCTGTTATTTTTTGAAAATAAGTTGAAAGAACAACTAAAACTTGAATCCCAACAGGGAATCTATTGAGAAACCAAATGCTTTCTGGTACTATCATTATTGAAACATATACGCGACCACTTTTCTTACCAGAAATGAGTTCATTCAAAATCTAACAACAATTAAACATTTTAATCATAGTTCTTTTTTTTTTTTTTCTTTTTTTTTTTTTACATACCCGAGATATTTTCAATATGTCCAACTTTAAACTAATTGAGCTAAATTGTCAGCCTTAGATTTAAGCAAAATATCAGAACCAACCTAGAAAAAACTTGAATCCAAGAGATTCAAGGCAAGAGATATATCATAAAATTGGAGCATGCTGGAAAACCAGCCTCAGTGTCCAAACTAATGTCAGAAATGATTGTTGCTTTAATTTGACAACGTCAAGTTTGAGGAAAATCTTCTGCTGCAGTAGGATGGGCAAAGCCAAAATGTATGCTGTTTTGCAGGAGCACCTCCAAACTCTTCAACCTGGCCTGATTTGGATAAATTTGGAAGCTTTAATACTATAATCAATGCAAACACATCAAAACGGGTTTAGGAATAGTTCTTAAGGGGGCCCAGACCTTAAAAGTAGTGAATATTTATGGCCTGTAACGGAGAGAAGTCTGTTACAGAAGATACAGCTATCAACACCAATAGGAGTGTGTTGAAAACCAGACCATTAGTTACTTCAACATTTTATTTTCCTTTGGGATTAATAAAGTATTTTTTAAATTGAGTTGAATTGAAAGCAAGCTCCATTTCAGGAAAGCAACCAAGCAATAGAAGCTGTACAATTGTTCATAAGTTGGTTTGTATGTTGTGAAAATTATGCCAGGACTTAATTTATAGTTAGAAAAAAAAACTTGAAACTTATTTTAATCCTGTTAAAGAGCATTTGATCAAATAATAGTAAAGATATGTGTATATTTCAGTCTCTACAACTTGGTCCATTTTTTTAGGGAAAGTCCAAAGTAAAGTTCAACTGAAGTTAACTATATGTATACTTTGTTTTCTGTACTGTTGTAGTGTAAGGCAAACTATGCCATGAGTTAGACTTAGACAACTTTTAATGTCATTTTGTATACACAGAATGTATACAAACAAAATTTCATTTTGTACAGCCTTCAGACAGTAAACGAACATTTCCATTCCATAAGTAGACTACAGAGTAAAGTAAAGTAGAAATAATGATGTCATAAACTAGAACTGGAACTTTCCTGAATGAATCTACCTTTAATGCTTGATCTGGGGAGATGCCAGGTTCAGACAGCAGCTCATTCTCAACGCAACGTCTCAACTGGGACTCTTCTTCAAACATGCCCTCCGTGTTCAGAACCAGCCATGCAAACCACACCTGTGGTAAATAGCAGCCCTGTGAGAACTAGAACCAATACGATCTACAGAGCCCGTATGGATGGTCGCTTTAGAAATCCTTACTTCTCCATTTAGGGAATGGCCCTCGATGAAGGATGGTGTGGCATTTCCAGCAATCCAGCCAACCAGAGAGGAAAGCAGACCGCGATCTCCATGGTAACCCAAAGCATTCTGTATGCAGCATGTAAACAGAGGATATTTTACTGGTGCAGATATTAAGGATCCCTCTCCTCTGAGATCAATTTTACAGTCTCCAGCCATTAGACTCTCAACAATCCCTGATTTATGTAATCACTGCACATACCTTATGTTGCTGGTAGAGGAGCTTCTGCACACATTCTTCCTGGTGATGAATAAATGCAGCACAGCAGATCTGATCCATGAGGAAAAGGACCGTTTTGTCACGATACCAAACATTCTGCTGAGTGAGAATTCCCACCCAAAACTCCAACACGGCGGCGGCGCCAACACGCCCGGCCCGGGAGCTCTCCACCACATGACTCTGATGAAAAATAAAAAACAATTATTTAAATTCCTTTTTTTTTTAACTAATATCTTAGGAGAAATCAATACATAATAAATCAAACATGTTTGACTCCTTCCCTCTTAAAAGTGGCAAAGCTTTTATTAGTTGGTTTCACGACACATATTTGGATTTTATTAAATGCAGCTACAATTTAAAGTCGAAACTTTGTATTTGTTAATTGATCCTTTTCAAAGCCAGAACTGGTTTTGATATATATATTTTTGGATCAATATCCCCTTGTAAATAAAAAACGTTAAAGACTCAAGCATGTAGCTAGAATAGATGAAGCAGGTAAACATTAAGTTTTGGAAAATGTTTAAATTAAGCTTAAAAGCCAGTTTTGTGGCAGGAAACTACCAGTTCTATAAGGAATAGTAGTGAAATATCCCGCTGCCAGATGGTTTTTATTGGTCGAAAAGAGCATCTAGTTACAGTGAATCAAATAGTAGCACTAGACTATGAAAATGAGAATCTTTGTGATTTTGATCCAATATGGATTAGATTGTAAAATTATAAAGTAAACTAGATTCTAGTTTAAAGTCATTGAGTAGTTTTCCATATCATTAGGGAAAATAATTTTTCAAATGCATACTAAACACTAGAATGCAGTTTTTAATAATTTTCCTTCTAGATAACAGGATGAGATCTAACCTGACAACAGCCAGATGCATGTCTCGCTCCGCCTAGCGAGACATGCATCTGGCTGTTGTCAGGTTAGATGAGATCTGCTCTCATTTTATAAACCAAAAAGATGTACCTGAATGACACTGTTTAGGAGACGGACGTTGTCACCATAGTTTGTTCCTGTGAGCAGCGGCGCCACCCGGTGAGTGACCTGCTGCGTCACTCCTTGAGGACACACACTGTCGTACTGTAAGAACAGCTGGATGCAGCTGACGAAGCTGGCAGAAGATGACAGTTGCAGAAAAAAGATGTTAGTTTGGGAGAAGATGCAGCTCCAGCCTCCACCTAGGAAAAGAATACTGTTCTGACTTACTGAGAGTTGTTCAAGAGGTAAAAGCTCAGAGGGTAGGTGGGGGGCAGGATGTTATCCAGCAGATGCACAGCGGCTCTCAGGTGGCGAGACTGAATCAGACTTTTTAGCAACTCAACTCCATCTGTGCAGAAGTTTTCCAGACTGAAACCAAAAAAATAAATGTGACTACAGACTGACTACTGACTAAAGATAAACATCACAACATTTAATGGTGAGAACAAACCTGTGCCCCACTTTTGTCATGGCAAGGGACAGGTAGCAACCAATGGGGAGGCCAGCTTTTACAGCCCTGAGAACAGAGTGCATGCTGGGAGCATGCGTAAGTTCTGGAGGAGGGTTGGAAGCCAATGCAGGAACCGTCCAGCCTCCTTTAGGATTCTGGGCATTACCATGGAGTTTCAGCCTCAGCAGCAGCTGCCACGCCCACTGACTAAAGGACGCCTCTGGAGACACGCCCAGGCGGAGAACGCTCGCTAGATAAGACACCTTAAGTGGACAAAAAAGGGGAACATTTTAGAAATAAGAATCAATTTAGTCCTTAAGCTGATTGTGAGAATAGAGGGATAAGTCACCTGTTTGATTCCCTCAGATATGAGCCCACTGTATGGTTTGTCTGTGAGGTATTTCTGATAAGCTTCAGCCACCAGCAGAGCCACCTCACTGTGGAGGACAGAGGCTAGCGCCAAAGAGCCATCCTGCAAAATCCCCCCAAAACATTTTAGACTTTTCTAAACTCCCAAATGGTTTTCAAAAGTACTTGGAAAACAATATATTTTAACATGATCACCTGAGTATAACCCCAGTTCAGACCCTCCAGGATAACACAAGCCAGTCTGTTCTCCACAGCAGACAGCGGATTCTGGAGCAGCCAGGCTCCAATCACCGATATTTCCTCCCTCTGCGGCCTCCACAAACTCAGAGGAAGCTCCTTACACAAGTACAACGCCACCTAAAACACAACAAACAACAACTAACAAATGTAACATTTGACAATTAAGACAGATATCAAGTTTTATTATTATTTTATTATGATTATCTCTACATTAAACTACATAATTTATTTAACAATATTCTATTTATTTATCTCATGATTAGAGGAACTCACCATTCCTACAGTCTGGATAGTTTCTCTCAGTTTCTCGAGGAGCACAGAGATGATGTAGGGATGAGCTGTTGCTATGGCAGCCAGCAACTCCCTTCCTACCTTAGAGTAAGTTTCTCTGGTAGACAAACTGACATAAGACACCTGAGGAAAACCAGAAAAGCTAAGTTACATAAAGAGAGATATCTATTGTTTTTACTTAAAAGAGAAGAATTTATCATTAATCTGAGTTATGTGGTTTGATGAATTGGACTCAATGCAAGCAGAAAGCAAATTAAGTGCTCAATACAACTATAATTTTTACAGATATTCCATAATTATTTTCCTTAACAATCAGTGTTTGCCAAAGCCCTAATACCTTTTAATTCAAAGGCTTTATGAGGTTGGAAATTTTTAATCATGTTCTAATCACAAACTTGAATCCATTTTTATTTGACATTTTGGGCTTAAACTAAGTATAGCCAAGATAAGGAGTTAGTGCTAAATTGCTTTTGCAAACAAAAAAGCTGCAATCAGTGGCCATGTTCCAGCTCATCTACCAAGATTGTGTTCACAATTGAGGACAGGTGCAAAAGTAGTGCAAAACACCCTATTAAGATGAGGTTTTTGTCTTTTACTATCTAACATCACTTGGTGTTTGGTATATTTATTTTGCTTATCCTGAAGGCAGCCATGATTTGCAGCAGCACTGTGCACAGATGGTAGGTAGGATCTCAATGTGGAGAAGAGGAATAACTTTTTCCGTTTATATGAAAATAAGCTAATTTGAAGAGTTATAGGCACAATTATGGCAGAATAGTTTCTGACATCTGGATCGACCCAACTGTCCGTAGATTAATGTGGCTCAAGGTTTTATGCTAATAGATTCATGGGAATCTTTTTCAAATACCTGGTAAATCAGCAGAGTTATGGTTGTGATGAATGCAGGATCAAAGTGGGGAGTGGGTGTCGCCATGTGTGCCAGGGCAGTGAGGAGGGAGATGCCATCAGAACTGTTCACTTCACACAACCAACCTTCAAATCTCTCCTGGTGCTTTGGGTCTGGAACAGAAAAAAAAAGAATTAGAGCGATATTTCAGGGAACACTATAAGAAGTCCTACAGCACCAGAAGTACAAAAGTAAAAAGTAAATTGAGTCTCTGTGCTGAAGCATTAATGCAAAGCATTTGATATTCAAACATGTTGGGGTTTAGTAAGAGCAGCTCTTTGAGCTGTGTTTTTTAAAATAATACCTCTGAGAGCCTGAATGCAGGATTGTGTGTCGCCAACAGCATTGAGAGTTTCTGGTCCTGCTGTTTCTGCACACTGCATGACATAAAGGACCTTCCAAAGCATAGAGCTGGACAAAGTTCCATAGGGCATCTCAGACATAAACAACCAGATACCCAACCTGTAAGAAAATAATTACTTAATGATTGTCTGCAAGCTGGGAGAAAATATTTAATGACTGCTTCTCTCACCTTTTGTTTCTGAGAACATGCAAAACAGCTCTGAGGAAGAGATGATCGTATTCCAGCTGCAGTTTCTCCAGAGTTAAAGAGTGCACATGAGAGCTGGACCCACCAGCGTCAGTCACACTCCTATACTGGGCCCAGTGGTCACTGACGTAACATACCGTCATTCTGAAGGGCGGAAGGGAAGTAGAACATTTTAGTTTTGGTCATTTCTGTCATCCTGATCTAACAAAGGCAGAATGAATCTGTAATATTTGTTTATATGCCTCATAAACTGACCTTATGATGTGTCCTATTCGCTTGACTAGTTGCCTGTAACGTGCTCTGTTGTAGGTTTGGAGGCCAAGGGCGAGAATCTCAGTGAGCGAGGAGGCAAAAGCAAAAACACGCATCATCTTCTGACTGGAGCAGGCCTGAGGCTCATAGACACCTGGAGGCAGAGCGGTGTGTTAGCTCATGTAATCAGAGGCAACAGTTCTGGGAAAAAGGTGAAATTGATTCTTCTAAGATGTATTAATTTTTGGATTTTACTGATGCGGCTGAAAAACAACAAAAACAAAAAAACTAAGAAATACAACGTTTAAATTTACAGGCAGCACTAGAAACACTCCACTTCTACTTAATGTTGACTTTAGTTGATAATAAGAGGATCCGTTGTTCTCATACAATCTTTCTAATATCAGTAGAATGAAGTTCCAATAACAGTTTCATACCGTAAATGAAAAACTTTCATCCATATTTCTCTAGTATCAACAAGCCTACTGTTGTGGCTTTTCTGAAGTCATTACAGAAGTTTATGTTTGGATAATTTTCCTGTTCTGTTCTCTTGAGGTTTGGTTATAATCTAAAAACATTTCTACCTTATCGCTCTAACGTCTGCTTATTTCCGGTTACTGGGTTTAACACTTCGTAAAGAATCTTAAGAAACCCTGTCCTATAGATGGGTGGTTTGGTTTAAGGGGTAAGTTAGCGATTAAAAAATTATAATAATCCCCCAAAATAATAAAATGGTTTGAAATGAATAAAAAAGCTTGATATCAGGCTGCTGCAAGAACCATGATCATTGGACTATGCACAAACATCTTATAGATAAAAAAGTGAGAATGCACAATAAACCCTAATTTGTGCATCTTTTTATCTTGTCTTTTAAATCACTTAATCTAAATGCTATAAAATCAATTAATCTTAGAAAGAAGAAAGTTTCAATTCATTGGTTGAATTCAAATTAACATATTTTGTTTATGATACATGATTGTGATAATTTACTAAAGTATCTTGTTTGTTTCTATACCGTCACAAGAAAGGGGAGGACTGTTAAAATGCATACCCTGTTTGCTCATGCCTAGCATGTGTGAATAGAGTTGCTGGAAGGGGAACTGGTTCAGCAGGGAGATTAGATCTTCCTCACAGAGCAGCAGCCAACTGCTCTCTGGATCTTCATCCTAAATACAACCAAGGCAAAAAAAAACAAAAACAAAAACAAAAAAATCAGTCAAAGATTTCACTAATTTTTTTATTTTTTTTTTTACATGAAAAGTAAAAAAAAAGTGCTAGGCCCTCACTTTTCTTTAAAACACAAACAGATGTTGGCATTAAAAATGAAACGCAATATAAACCAAAGGATGAAATCAACTGTAAAAATCTTGCTCAAAGGCAGCCCTTTAGTACCAGTATCAATCATGGTTTTCAGCAAGATGATTGATATTTAAAAAGTCAAGTCACTGTTTTTTTTTTCCTTTTTAGTTTAAATGATTCTCAGTTTATCAAAACAAAATTAAAAAAACATTAAACTAAAACATCCTGATAAAAAAAAACCTCTAGGCCCCTCTGAGATAACCTTTCTTTAAACAAAAGACTATACCACAAGTTAAAAAAGAATCCAAATCAAATGAAGGTGTAAAGAATATTGTTCTCATTATATCTTGATAAAGTCCCTTGTGTATCATTTTTAGATGTGTTTTTAAAGCACAAACTGGTTGTTGACTAAAATCTTTTTATGCATTAGCAGAAGAAAAATAGCTACCTCCTCTCCTCCTTCATCAACAAGGGTCCAGTTGCCAGACTCAGGACCTGATGCTGCTGAACTCTGGCTCTCACAAGGTTTCATATGACTCAGAAACTCAGCACGGTGTCTTTGGGGAAAAAAAAAAAAAATATATATATATATATACACATTGAGAGGGGTCAAACATATATTAAGGTCTACGCTTACAGGTTTTATCTAGAAACACAATGATCCACAACGTTTGGTTTCCTTGTGATACAAATACGATGTGACACAGGGGTCTGTTTAGATTTAGCCATTAGGATGCAGGTTGGGCAGTGAGCCAATAGAGATAATAGGATTTTGTGCTTTGGTCAGACAGGGCTAAAAGCATTTCTTCAACAAAAAACTAAAACTGATCTGTCGTGAAAATGTTAACAGGAAAATATCCCAAAATGTACAGTATAAATATTTAATTCAAAGTATTTATTTCTGTTTATTTTTAATGTTTAAGCTTACCTCTCAATGCTAATGTTTATATATATACACATTCATATTAATTTGCATTGTAACCAGATCTTTTATGAATGTTCACTGCAAAAAATTGAAATCGAAAATAATCATCTTTTCTTAAAATAAGTGCATGTTCTTTTTGAAATGAGGAGGTAAATGACACACTTTGGCAATAGAACAAGAATTTAAAATAAAAAAATAGAAAAGAATAAGAAAAAAAAAACAATTTTGTCTCATTGAAGCGTATATTATCTAATTGTTTTATTTTAAGAGAAAAATACTCATTCCATAGGTAAATCATCTTATTTACCTACTCTGTGTCTAGTCTGTTTCTGATCTCTGTGAAAATGGTTTCTGTGTGAAAAGTACCCTGTAAATAAGTTTGATTAATCAAAACCCTTGAAGCGTTATTAAAATGCATGGTGTCCTGGATTAAACCATTCCAGGACATTTTACATTAAAAAAGCTCTAAGCAGTGGGTAACAGAAAATTGATGAGGAGTTGCCAGCGCAGTTTCAGTGTAATAAGTATCCAAACCATATGTACAGCTAAACATAAAATAAAACCATCCTTCTTTAATGGCCAGTAAATCCTGCAGAAAAACAGTTAGTTGAGCTGGAGAGAAGAGAACATCTGAGGGAAACCAAGACTTTGGAGGAATTACAAAGATTGTGCAGAGATTAAAGATTAAAGATCTCTTTCTATGTTTTACTCAAAGCGTGTTAGATCTTACACAAGATAAAGTTGCTCCCCTGACCCTCCGATAAGCAGCAGAACAACAATTGATAATGGGGATTGTTAAAAATATGATATGCTGGGATGATATTCAGTGCGTTAAGAGCACTTATTTCTCAACCAGGAGACCATTTACTTCAATCCCAGGTTGATATTATCTGGAGTTGTTTTTATGTTAGATTTACCAAAAACAATAAGGGTTTCTGCACATCTTTACCAGTGATCCTCCTAAATGTGAATGGAACTGTTTATCTAGCTGCATAAGAACTGCTAAAAAGTCCTTATACTCACCTGGCAGGTGACATCAAAATGGATAACGCTTGCATAAAATGTTGCACTCCAGAGCTGTCTCCCAAAACCTTAATCTGAAGCAAATAAAAAAATAAAACAGTGAAGGAAACAGTGTGCAAAAAAAAGAAAAAAATGAATGAAGAAGAAATATGTCTCTTAACTTACTTGAAGGAACGATGCTGCCCACTTCCCAACCCCAGCAGGACAACAGAGAAGATGGCAGAGCAGATAAAGTTGCTCCCCTGACCCTCCGATACGCAGCAGAACAACAACCTGGCAGACGGTTGAAAAGAAAACAACATTAACGATTTTGAAAAACAAAATAATTTAGCTTGTGAATGTGGCACTGAAATGTATTTACCAGCCTCTCCAGCCACTGATGGATGTCTGTCTGGAACTGTGTGTCATCCAGGACTCGACGTGTGAAGCTGAACAGGACACTGATTGCCTCTTTCAGAGGCTGGAGAGAACAGGGCTGGGTTTGGTTTCCAGAGCAATCTAAAACTGGAAAAATAAAATAAAATAAATAGAATCTAGTTTACATTACTGGAGTTATGTTTGGAATTATGTTAAAGTTTCTCTGAGGCAAGAAAGATATTAAAAGTCTCACCTTTTAGTAGGCGATACAAATAGGATTCAATCTGCAGACGTGACAGCAGAGCTGTGTAGGCATGCAGCACCACCTTCTGGTGGAGGAGCTCACTGCATGCCTCCAACAGCACTCGCAGCTCAGACAGAGCACTCTGATTAAACTCTGCCTGCTGGAAGCGATGGTATCCACAAACCTTAACCTGGTCTGCACATACACCCTGGAGGAAGAAAAGCAGAAGACATTCAAACAGTAGCTCATTTTATTCATCCAAAAGCAGAAAAAAATAATAACAGACCTGAAGTGTGAGCTGTTCATCTCTGAAGCTCCAGAGACGATTCTGTGTGCTCTTGCAGTCAGATGACTGAGTGTGCAGCTGCGTGTGCGACTGGTTCAGCTGTCTGCGGCAGCGCCAGTAGTTCTGGAGCAGTTCTGTCAGTTCATGGTTCTCCTGACGGGCCAGCGCACAGAACTGGGCGGCACAAACCTCTACGCCTTCCAGCCACATTCGCAGCCCTTCACCTGGCTCCCATACACTCAGCTGCTCCAGGGTGAATGCCTGCAGAAGAGATGACACAAGAGAGCCACACAGAAAATACGAATGAGTAGACAAAGTAGTTGTCACAGACTGAAGTCATTTTAATAGGGTACTAAATGGCAAATATCCTACCTCAGTAACTTATAAAATTAACATAAATTTATGTTTTCAATATATGCTTGTACTATTGAGGGTCAAATGATAACATATCCAGATAACAACTTTAGCAACCATTGAAAATAAAAGCTTACTAAGGGGATTTTGTGACTTCAAGCTACCAATCTTTGCTGTTGCTGTTAGCTTTGAGTAGTAATTTATTTACATTTTATTTTACCTCCTCCTAATTGTGTGGAGTGGAAAAACAAATTTGACTGAAATTATTCCTTCGAATGTAGATTTCCAAACTGGAAAGATCAACATCTAATCTGCTTTGTTCTCTTGTCTCTTTCTAACAGAATGAGGCATCGGTGCCAAATCCTGGATTACTTATTAATATTTAGGACAGTTGTATCAATAATAATCTTATCAGTCATTTTGTTTAAAGAAGCAATTCTTAATGTACCAAATATTGGATATTTCTATTTCTTTTTATTCATTCTTATTTCCATTTCTTTCAATTAAACTGCTGCAGCAAAAGACTTAATTTTCCAGGGATACCAGTAAGAGTATGTGATGCTGCTGCTGGAATCAGTCTAAAACATGAAGTATATAGATCAGAGATGTCCAAGTCCAGTCCCTGAAAGCAACTATCTTGCAACATCTGGATGCATCCCTTCCCTGGACAAAATGGCATATCAGTATCCACTTCTTCTGCTCCTGGTTATGAGCAATCAGTTGATTCAGGTGTGATGAGAAGAGATACATCCAAAAGTTGTAGGATAGTAGCTAAGGAGTATTGGTGTCCCTGTTATAGATGTTCCAATTACGATTTTATCTGGTTGAAAGTTAAGTGTTACAACTTTAACTTAATCGTATGACCACAGACAGACTAACTCTGTGTTAATACGGTCAATTCGTTGAGATTACCTGCATTTCTGGGGCTGTCTTTGGCAATTCTGGGTACAGTTTGCTCCTTGAAAGCTCAGTTACAGACTTCAGAGGATGCAAACACAGAGGAGAGGATTCTTGTTCCGGTAGTGCCAACACTGCTGGTTCCCTGGCACAGTTTTTCACTGCTTTGTCGTAGATCTGCATCATAGAATCCTCCTCCAGGACCGGAAGAGATGGGTACAGCGCAGGAGCACTTGGGTTGCCAAACTGAGCTGTTAAAAAAGGCTGTTTCCACATTTGCTCATCTTTTCCTGATGTAGCAGTTTGTGATGCAGCTTCCAGCGCAGCACCCTGAGCTTCCACACCATCATCTTTTTCCACCCTGTTTGACTCAGTCTGTTGCACTGTCTCTAATGGCGTCTCTGACAGCTTCAAACCTGACTGTAGAGTCTCAATCAGTTCTGATGTATTTTTAGTCTGTGCTGAGGAAGTCTCTTGTTTCTCTGTGGGCTTTTCTGATGGCTGTGTTGATGTTTTGGTGGTTTGGACAAGATTCTCTTGATCCTCTTCTGCCTCCTCAGGTGGACAAGTGGGCAGACTGAGGGGGATCTCCGTGAAGCCAGAGGTGTAAACATCATCGCAGACGGCTGGTAGACATGGAGACTTCTTCTCCTCCTCTGCTTGCTTCTGCTTTTTTCCCAACTGAAAACATAAACATTTTCTTTAATAATAAAAACTATGTCATACATATATCCACAGACCAAAGAATATCAAATATTTACTGTGTTTTAACTAATAAACCTGGTGTTTAAAAAAAGACATGAAACAATCATGGATCTTCCTCGGCTACAGCCTGTCATAACAGGAAATCTGCAGAAATGCAAGAAAGGGAAATTCTAATTTGGGGTAAGTAAAATTTAGCCCTGGACGCAGGCGACCCGGGTTTGAATCCGGCCTGTGGTCCTTTCCTGCATGTCTCTCCCCCTCTCTCATACCCCCTTTCCTGTCAGCCTACTGTCCATAAAAACGAGACACTAGTGCTGTAAAAGCTAAAAAAAAAAACTAAACTAAAAAAATATATATATATATATCAAATCAATTGGAAGAACATATAATTTTAATTAAACTAAATGATGTAGAAATTTACCTTCATTCATAGCAGAGCCATAAGTGGCTCTTTTATTCTCTGACTCTAATAATATATTTTAAATGATAAACTATCGGCCCTTTGTTACTGGTTCATGCTTTTTTGTGCCCACATGAAGACATGGTGGCCCCCACCTGGCTAGTAAATATTATCTAGAACCGCCACTGTTCCACCAACATACATCTAGACATGCTCTGGGATGGATAAACAGGCAAACTTGATGCTTCTGCAAGCCCTGATGTTAACTATACTGACAAGTTGTGAAATGTACTTAAAAGTTCAACCATTCAAATTAAAATCTATCACTCCTACCAAGATGTTTAATGAAAATATTATTAAAATCTACAAAGATATTGTGATCAATGGATTTAACTTGCTAATTAAGGAACATAACCATGATGTAAATGTAAATATATCTTAGCACACTTTAGTTATAATTCAATTATCGTGAAAAAACAATTATTGTTAGGTGCCATTTATTTTGGATAAACAAATATTAATGTTTTTAAATAATGACAGCATATAGTAAGAGGTATTACTAGTAATATCTGTTCATTTATTTGACTATTTCTTTGTAAAATACAACGATCATTCAGTTTATTCTCTTTACTTCGTTCCTCAGATGAAGGTTGCAAAGGGTCCTTTTTATCTACTGGATCAGAATAAAACGTTTCAGAGAAGACAGTGCTGTTTGGGGTAATCACCTGAGATTTTCCGCTGGTTTTTGTTTTGGTCTTCTTCGGTCTCACAGCCTCCATTTTTTGCGGCCTGATCCCATCAGCTCAGACCGAAGCAGCACCGAGTCCTCTTAGAAGCGTGGAGACAATGATCGCATAACAACAGGTCATAGTCTGCTCTCAAGATAAACAACAAGCAGCAGCTGGAACAGTCAGTCAAGTTCCGGATGTGCAGCCGAGTTAAAAACAAGTTTTTACATATATGAAAGCGACATATGTATCCCCCGTTGGATAATATTTAGTGAGACATCTGAATGCCTAACATGGTATCCACTGTTTTTAAGAAAACGAAACCAGTGTCTGTTGATACCTAACTAAGCTAGGCTAATCCCCAGATCTTCGCTCGTAATGATAAACATATATTCATTTATGTCTCCCCACACGTCTCTGGGTCTTCCTGCCTATTTCTTTAATCATTAAAATATCACTAAAACTCATAAAGTACACTGTCACGCGGCAGAAACCCCAGTATGGTGGTCAGCTGTCATTTGTTTTGTTTGCTCCAGGAACTACAAGATCGCAATCTGCAGGCACGTGACAACTCCACCTCTCTACGGCAAGCGGGAGCAGCCAAACGTTACCAAACTCAAACACTGTCCTCAAAGGTTATGTTTAAAACTCTTTAAAATTAAAACGGCACATTTTTTACATTTAAAAAAAGTAAGGAATTAAGAAGAATGTGTAATAACACAAATTTATATAAAAAAAGGAAATTCGACCATTTTACAACTAAATGCATAATAAAATTACATCAAAGTTATGTCTAAAAAAATTGGACCAAAAAAAAATATGAAACCCCCCAAAACCCAGAAACAACCACCCTGTTTTTATGTTATATTATAAAACTGCCAGTATTTCTGTATCAATTAGAACACAAGACATGCAGACAAAAGCCTTCAATAGATTTTATCAGGATTTTATTTGGCAGATGAACAAATAATGCACAATAACATTAAAGGATAATGACACAGGTTTTGTACATTTTTTTTTTACAAATGAAAATATTTTAGCTGTTTAGTGTGCCTTTGTATTCAGCCACTGAGGCCGATAATTGTTAATTGATAATTGCAGTCATCTTATTACAAATAAAACTCCTTATGAGTAGGCTATGTCTCCACGACACAGCTTGTATTTCAAGACACTGAAAATGTTGTCAATTCTTTATTGAAATCAGCTTAAGATCAGCCAGATAGAAGAAAAAAATATATTTTTTTGTCTTTCAAAAGAATTTTGATAGGATCTAACTCTGGGTTTGAATAAGGCAAATGTAGCTATTGGACTTCCCATCGAGCTTATCCCTGCTGGGGTTGCGAGGGGCGCTGGTGCCTATCTGCAGCAGTCAATGGGTGAGAGGTGGGGTACCCATACCATTATATTGTAGTATTAGCTATATGTTGGGACATTTCGCTCTGAAAGGATGCAGCATATTGGTCCTTAATTCATTTACAGTATTTAATAGTCTTTCTTTAAGTACTTAATCATGTTTACTTCTATTTATCTCTTTATAAACTTACACCACTCTTCCAATATTTGAAGAACAACATACCTACATAATGATGCAGCCACCATCTTGTTCCAGTATGAGGATGGTGTCTTAAGGTGGATGTAATATGTTAGCTGTTCATCACATTAAGAATTTTGCTTGTTCTCCAAAAAATATTCTCCTTTGGTCTCATCTGAAATGAGCACCTTCTTCCACACACTTGCTTGGTTCCCTAATGCTCTTCTTCCCCGCTCTTTCAATTTAGATATCACTCATGCCCAAGTAGCTTTGCAGTTATACAATACTCTTCTCATCTCTGATGAAGAATTTAACAGATCTCCGTAAAATGATCACAAATTATCATCTAATTTCATACCTTAATAGAACTTCCTTCCTGACCTGTCAGCCGTGTCCCTTAGTTTCCACAATGCTGATCGTTATTTATGTTTTCAGACAAACACCTGAAGCCTTCACAGAACAGATGGAGTTAAACTGAGGGTGAATTACACAAACACAGGTGGATGCTTTTGACCAATTTACTGACTTCTGCAGTTTATTCCTTGCACAGAATTTTTGGGGGCATCAGATTAAAAGGGGACTGAATACAAACATTTCCACTGCATGACTTTAACTATAGTTTAAGAATCTTTTTGCAATTATTTTGTTAATCTGAAACTGAACATGTTGGTAAACACCGATCTGGTAAACATTAACCGATTGTGCTCAACAACCTGAAGTAAAAGACAACATTCCCTTTTCACCCACCGTTTTAAGATATCGGGAAACTGTCATTAGACAAATTTATAAAAGACTGTTGCAGCATCTGGTAACAACTTTTTCTGACTTGGTATGAAGGTAAATATAACCCCACTGACCTTTTTAGTGAGTAAAAAAAGAAAAAAACAAAACTTTTATAAGTTACAGGTAAAACTGTGTTATAAAATAGAAATAAACACATGGCAACAGAGTCAATGCTCAATGGAAATGCAGAAGAACCAGCATGCCTTTAGGTTAGAGTATAATTGATGCTACATCTCCTAAAATTTATTTCAGATTAATGGAAACTGCTTTTATTTTTAAAGCTGCACATGTCAGTTAGGTTTTATGGTATCATATATGGATTTTGAACATTGAGTGGTTTTCTACTGTTAATGATGTATGTTTAAAATCTCAGCTTCTTAATGAGTGCTTAAATCAGTAATAAAGGAACTAGAAACATAGCACGCACTAGCATGTATCACAAACTCCGGTGCCACTGACACGGCATCACTAATTCATGCTCTGTGCTTTTTTAATCCCTTTTATTCAGGGTTATTTAAAGGCATGAACATGCACTGTGAATATAGTGAGGGACTGTTGGAGGGCATGTCTGAGGTAGAAGTTTGCAGGGGTGTCTGAACATCTGTATCCCGCCTGTATAAAATGTGTAAAGGGAGTTGTTCCTGTTGGCCTAGATATGGGCTGAAGAGTTCGGGTGTGTGGTGAATATATGCTTGACTCAGGGCTAAGCTGAGGATCTCTGTTTTTTCTTTGTAAAAGCGCAGCTCTATGCCTCGGCGTCGTGCCAACACTAGCTCCCTCTGCGCCACTTGCAGCTCCATTGCCAGCAACCCAGGAGCTTTCTGCTCCTTTCCCAGCCAATCCAGAGCCATGCTGCTCCGCATGGACTCATCCAACCCTCGCTGGGAGTAGTACGTAATCACACTCTGGAACAAAATGGAGATGGATTTACAACTGCAAAATAGCATATGAAATAGGTGGCAATGAAGCATAATAACAACAGAAATGTTGGAAATATGCTTCAAATATGGGACTTTTGCTCAACATTTCAAAAGTTTAACTGAAATAACTGTTTTCAATAAAGAGAGATCGAAAAATACAGACTAATTAAGTAGTCCAAACTATAGAGCTGTTTTATGAAAACACCATTTTACCTAAATAATCTAATATTTTATTCTTTAAAATAGTTTTACAATAAGGCTAATCCCTGCTAATCCACTACTTTTTTCTCCATTGTTGTTTTGTATAACTTTTACCTGCCGGGAAAACTTCTTCTCCTTCAGAGCCTTCAGTGTCCCATTCCAGTGCAACAGCTGGAAAACTGTCATCATCTCCTAAAGAAAATGAGGATAAGGAGGGTGAAACCAGGCTTTTCTTTAAAAAAAAAGCAATCTTCAAAACTGTGAATTGTTTAAGTATTCATAAAGCCACAACAAGGATGTATTTTGTTAAAGTTATTTCTTTATGGGATAAACAAGCACAAAGTATTTTGGACAAGAAGGAAAAGTATACGGTATAAGGCTTTCAGTTTCCCTTTAATCCCCTGCCTTAATCCTGATTCTTTTAAATAAAATCCTGAGCAATGCTATAAAACTTTTTGTATACATGCATGGTATCTAAAGATAAATTTTAAAGGGCTTGAAGCTGTAATTGCAGCACAAGATAGTTGCAGGAAATATTAACTTTGGAGGGAACGAGTAGATATTTAGGCCACATTTTCAGATCATTTTTGCTGTAGGTATTCTTTATGTCGACATTTAACCACTGCATTGTGTTTGTCTTTTACAGATAATACAAATAAAATGCATTGTACCTGTAGAGAAACCTGTTGACATTTTAATACCGTGGATAGTTGGTTTGAGAGATGTCACAAAGTACAAGTTTGACCTGCACTTATAAAAACAGCACCTGTCCAAACAGCTGCCATAGAGGAGGGGATGCTAGAGTTAAACGCTGTGTTTAGATTGGATTTAACTGATTTAATGAGGCACAGATAGAAAAGACTGGAATATTTTGGTTAAGACAGAAGTTTGTTGTTTATGTTGGTACATGTAACATATGCGACTCATCTTCCACTGACTATAAACATAAAATATATGAAGGTGAAGCTTCTTTTTTACACCGTCGGCATGTCCAGATATCAACATATATGGACATGTGGGTATAATTATGATAATGGTGCTAATTAACTGCATATTATCTTCATGTCTGTGGATGTGTTTATTTAGTCAGTATAAAGCTGAGGTGTTCTTGCCTCAGTTTCCCTGCCAGGGTTAAAGGTCGATGAGAAATATTTCAGTAAAGAACAGACTGGAGATGTAATGATGCCGTTAGAAGGTATAAATACCACCAACAGTTAAGGTTAATAGACTTAATAAAGTCAAAATATAACTATACAATTATTTAGAATAAGAAAATGTTGGATAACATTTTTCTTTTGGGGCGGAGGTTTAGTTCTCCTTACAGCAGTATCTATATGCCGCTCGATTATGTTTTTAACTGGAACTTTGTTCCAGTGTATTTTTGCCATCTACTTGAACAAGGTTCCCAGCTACAAATAAAAACCCACAATTGGTGCTTCAGGGCTCATCTTTTACAAAGTAGCTATGTTATACTACATTAAATAACAGGTAGGTCTAACACATTTACAAATAAATACTTACATAAACCACATGAATATTTGGGATTCCCTCCATAAAAGACATTGCATCCCAGCGCTGAGTGTCCTAAGCCCGAAACCTGATCAATGACCTCTCACACCCCCACCATGGACTGTTCTCCCTGCTGCCTTCTGGGAAGAGGCTTTGCAGCATTTAATGCAGGTCCAGCAGCTTCTGAAACAGCCTTTTCCCCACTACCATCAGACAGCTGAACTGCTGAGAAGACTCTAAATCATGTCACAGACTCTGCATGACACTGATAACACCAAACCAAAATACTGCATATTTGCATCACATATATTTAATGCTCTGAACTTCCATATCAATGCATTTTTGCACCATGTTTTTTTCTCCCACAATGTTTACATTTGAACACTGCTGCACCTTAAGAAATGGAAATGTCATGAAAGCTGTACAAAACACAATTTCGTTTTGTATACACTCTGTGTGTACAAAATAACAATAAAGATTGTCTAAGTCTAAGTAATATGTAGAGCTGAAAAAAGTTTTTAGTAGCTTTTTACCTGAAACTCCAGCATGGTCCGTCCCATGTAGGACTGAAGCAGCACACTGTAGGTTCCTAAGCTGGTGCTTGAGTCACATGCATCCTCCATAGGAACCTTTGAACAGAGACGTCAGGGTAGAGTTATACTCATTTTAAGTACAAATAAACCTAAAGAAATTGGTAGCTGCAAACACCCACTGAGCTTTCTGTGGCAGCTTGGTTCAGACTGTGAGTGATGAACTCAGCCGTGATGCAGCGACACGGCAGCTCATTCACCATTGAGTTCATCAGAGCCACACGGGCTGCATCCCTGCGTGCCTCTGCCTGAGTGTCACACACCTGAGGAGGCAATTAAAGAGCTGAGATGTAAAAAATAAAAATAGTATTTTACAATGCGAAGCAGACAAACATAAACTTTCTAATGGGATCAGATCTCAAAGCACTAACAAGATTAGAACATTGCAGACATAAATCACAATCACAAGAGCCCTTCTAGGCCAATAAGGCCCCTGAGAGGCAAAAAAAGATCTGATCTGAACAGCTATACAAGTGATCAGTAAGTGATCCAAATGTACGGTACTGTGAAGTAATAATAAATAATTCCTAATTTCTTTGTGCTTCCAATATCCAATTTTTTCTGTAACGTTTCAATAGTTTGGATTTCTTCTGCAATTTCATTGACTTTATTCAGCTGTACCTGATTATTATACTGAGCGTATTAAACAGGGTGTGCTTAAAAATGGTTGATTATGTAATAATAATCAGGAAGCTGAACCATATCTAAAAGTAGTATATTGGACATATAAAGACAATGATGTTCTGAAATGATGTTTATGCCTGAAACAAGACCAGGGAGATCAACTGTTCTTCATTCAGTTCTTTAATGATATTCCTAGTTTTCATAATTTATATGAAACAGCCATTAAAACTATATTATATAAAGTAAGAAAACTATAGACAAAAACTAAAAACAATTCAATAAGACCAATAATGACAATAATAATTGAACTTTGGGGCAGTTTGGGGATAAGGGTTTTGCTCAGGAACCCTGATTGCAGGCTGTGGGGATCGAACCAGGTACTTGCAACCTTCTCAGAGCACAAGCCCCTTATTTGATTTTTTATTTTTATTTTTATTTAATAATCGAATAAAACACGATAGCTTCAAAATGTACAACGTATATCTTCCATCTTGGCATACTGTATCTCCTGCCAGATAAGAGCAGTCAAAACTTAACTCAACTATTTATAAAACCCTTACCTTGTGTAGGTTTTTGTCAGGGTGTTTAGTGATATTCTCTACATATCATCTTAATAGAGAAAAGTTACACTTTTTCAGGTGACAAATGACAATACCAATGTTTCAAAGTTAATAACTGATACGTTTAATCAGGACGAACAAAACCTGAACATACACAAAACATATGCTGACATAGAACCGAATGTATTTATGATACAGAAGCATTTCAAAGTAAAGGCATTTGGGGAATGAAATCACCTTATAGTTGCCAAAGCAGCTTCCTCCAGGCAATGTGACATAGCAGACATAAGGGGGACCAGCGGAAGGTGCCGACTCGTATAACAGCAGACTATCTGTTAGGCTGCCAGATTTCCCACAAATCTTTTCCAACTCGGCTGTGGAATCATCTGACTGAGCTGTTTGCTTCTGTTCCCAGAAGTTATGCAGAATACCCACCACATTAACTGCACACAGATAGATGTTGACATAATATCATTTCCAAAGTAATCCAGTCAAATCATGCATTACTCTGTAATCACATTTTTACAAAATATTTTTGTTCTCTATATACTTTAACAATGTTAAATGTATATTTGGGTGGATTAAAAACCTAAATAAAAAACCTAGACTGCATTTTACCCTGATCACCATATTCTGACCCATTTAAGGGTTTTAATGTTCCAGTCTCCTTCATTTTGTGCAGTGTAGGTTACTGGAGTTCATTTTGCATCAGCCAGCAAGGCTTTTAATCCACTTGTTTAAAAGCTAGACCAGCTTTATTTATCAAGCACTTCAAAACAGCAGACACAGACCAAAGTGCTTGTCTGCCACAATTTAAGCTAATAGACTATTCTTCAACATTTTGAAATTAGACTTAGTTTTAAAGCTACTATTCAGATATATAATTTTGATTAAGAAATGTCAAAAGACACATTGCTTTGCATTTGGGCAGATTAAAAAACTTTAAATTGTATGAATCTAACTGAACCCAAAGCCATTAAGGATGCAGGTGTTGATTGGAAAGCTTATGAAAACGGTGATAGATGCATCATTTTTTTTTCAAATATCAAACTGTTGCAGAAAATATCTTGAAATTAAATTTTAATTCTCAATTATATTTCTAATTATCTTCTCTTCCACAAATACAGGTTAACAGAATGGAAGTAAAAAAACAACAATCTAGATTACCCCTCAGCAAAAAAAAACAATGTTGGGTCAAAACTGAGACCCATTTATAAAGGCAGGTCAATTTTACAAGAGGGAGTAAAAAGAAGTTTCCCCTTTGAAGAAACTCACAATCTTTGAGTCCGTCATCCGATTGACTCTGCGACAGGTACGTCATGATATCTGTCTCCAACTGCATGTAGCTCATTGTCATCCAAAGTTCAGTTCTGCTGCTGCTTCCAAAACATTCCATCCATGTTTATATCAAATCATCAAAACTAGAAACTATGACCCACTGGTAACATCTCAATGCAGAATATAAAGTAGTATCCTCCTCTCCAGTGTGAACATCCCATCAGGGTTTCTCTTTTGAAGCAAACCATCTTTGTGACTCTGCACCAATTAGCTCAGAGGGCCCCTCAGCACACAGACACAGAGGTGCAGGACAGGAATGCTGAGCCCCTCCTCTCTGGACTGAGCAGCTGGCTAATCCCCAAAGAGACGGAAAGTTTAGGATCTGCACAGATTTTTCAAAGAAAAATGCTGAACTATTCTAACACAAAAATAAATCTAAAGTGTAGAAAAAAAGTTAAAATAAAAGCCATTACAAACCCCAAAGATTACAATAATAATAAAAATGGCATCAAAGGAACTATTCTTCTTGATTAGTAACCAGGACGTGTGGGGGTTGGAACATTTCTGACTTCACACTCAAATTTGAAGCCACCGAGTTCAGAGTCTGAGCTCCATTCATCCCCTTCAATATGAACGGCTTTTGTTCATGTGTGAATTCACCTCCTTTATAAAAGCTGCTTACACATAAATTAGCCAGAGTTTCATAGTGAGCAAGTTTTACTTACTTCCTTTAATTACTTTACATAGCAGGTGTCTTATCGAAAGCTTTCGCAAAACTCATGTTTATATTGAGGGTTAATTTTGATTAAAACATCCACGTTATCAAATAAAAAAAAAAAAAACATTTTGAAAAGCTGTACATCACACTTGTTCAGCTATGCAACAAATTGTTTCACTTAGATATTAATTTTCTACAACCAAAGCCACACTTTAATCACATAGGATTTAACTCTTAATTAAATTGCATCTATAAAATAAAGATATTTATAGCTCTGTTATGCAAAACAGTAGGTTGAACAGAAAAAGGACCTCTTCTGAGAAATATATTTTTATTATGATTATTGTTTGAGTCATTGTGTCCATTTCTCCAGCCATGATGAGAAAGTTATAGTTCTTTAGCTAAAGGAGCAGAGGATGCTAAAATAAAGACAATTGTGATTGCAGGTTGATGCAGTCCACCTGCAATTACACATTATCCCCAGAAGGAGGCAGTCTCCATGCTGGACTTGATGTTATTTTGGTTCTCCCTTCTTGATTTAGTGACCAGGTTAGCCTCTCCCTTCTGCAGACGTCTCCTCTGTGCCGCCTTCTGCTGTTTGGTGAGCTGCCGCCGCACTTTCTGACGGACAACTTCCTGCAGAACAAACATCAGCAGCAGATTGCATTAAGATAGTCAGTGTGTATACATAAGCAAAACACGGCAATATATTTTTTTAAAACTGCAACAACATGTGGGAAATCTGTAGCAAAGCATGCAGAAAATAAGAGATTTTGGTTGACTTCTCCTTTACCACTCCAATCAGAAGAATATTTGTAGCTATAATAGAATTTGTGTGAAAGCTGCCAGCATCTGTGGGAATCTTTACTTACAGGAGGAATGGTGGAACAACTCCCGATGCTTCCCATGGTGGCTTCACTGTCGGTTCTTCTTCTTCTATGTTCAGCAATCTGTTGAAGACTGTCCGAGTCTCTGGAAAAATAAAAGGAGGTGGCATTATATTCTGAATGTATACTTTGCACAAGAGAATTCCTCATATGATTATTGGTCTGGATTAAGGACTTTTTTTTTTTTAAATAATAAAAAGGATAAGAAATTTAGGGTGAAATGAATAAAGTCATTTTTCTGATATTCCAACCACTGGTTGTAGTTGGCATATTGGTCAGTCAAAATGATGATAACACTAAATCGTAGGAGCAAGATATGCTTAAAGTCACTGTATCATCTCTATTGAGGAGCAGACACACAACATGCATGGAAGAAAGCAACTAACCATACACAGATAACTAATATGGCTTCTTAGCTTAAAACTTACAAAACTAGGAAAGCAAAAACATCTGCAAATTAAAAAACAAAAATAATATATAAAAAAAATTTAGTAAAAGTATTTTTTTGTTTTGGTTGTTTAAGTATGAGACAAGCATCAAATGTGGGGAAATGTAAAAATTATGACATATTTTAGAGCATTTTAAGATATAAAAGCTGAGGCTCCATCTAAGAGGCGCTTCCTCTCTAAGGAGCCATTTTGTAAGCATATGGCAGATCTTACCTGAACGGTTTGAACTCCTTGTTAGAGGAAGAAAGCTCAGCCAGCTCTGGACACTCATCCTCTGCTTCCTTCAACTCGTCCTCATATTCTGTTCCCGTTTCCTCCTGGCATCCAGCTTTGGACGCCTCCTCTGGAGCTTCTTTTGATTCCTTAATCCTTTCCTCCTCCTTAGGTGTTTCGCTGACTTTCAGTCCCTCCAGTTCCATCATTGCATGTTTATATTCATCCATGTTGAAGCTGCTGTCCTCCTTTTCTGCCTCATTGTCTGACGCTTCACCTTCACCGTTTTCATCATCATCATCTTCTAGTTCCTCTTCTTCATCGTCGTCGTCGTCTTCTTCAGGTCCAGCTGGATGTAGGAATTCAGCACTCTTCTCCAAATCTTTGGTAAAGCCGCTTGCTGACACCTCAATATCAAGAGAACAGGAGCGCCTGAGAGAGAAAACAGAGCACTTGTAAGAACTACTTTGCAACTTCCTGACCAGGAGGCAGGAGATACTTAATACACGTTATTTTAGAAACTCACATCTATATTAATGTGATATTAGCTTTCATTTTTTTTTTAAACCTTTCAGCTTGCACATATAATAAATAATACCAAATACCAGGGACAATTTCTGGACCCATCCCAGCCCTGACTTCAAGCAACATTTTTTTAACAGTTAAAGTGTCCCACATCGACAAAAACCTTGTGGAAGAGAGTTATAGAGGACCAATCCTGCCATAGTTAAAATTACATAAAGAAATAATTACACAGTGTAACAATCAACATATACCGAACCGAAAACTGTGACCACGAAACCGTAAACCGAACCGTGGATTTTGTGAACCGTTCCACCCCTAGTACATTCAACGCTTTTGCATATAGTTGAAGAATTGGATATAGCTGGATAAAATGCATGTGGAAAAACACAGAGCCCACTGTTTTCAAAGCATAGAACTCTGTATCAACTGTTATGCATGGTGGTGACCGCATCATGCCGAGGGTTGGTTATGCTACCACTTGTACCAGCTCATGGTAGATGGTAAAAAACTTGGACACAGCTGGGTGTCCAACAAGACAAAGATCGCAAACATACATCCAAACTGGATTTGAAATTTGATTTGACGCTTTCTAACAGAAATAAACAAATATGGCATTTGGCATTCCAGGCGACAGTTTTGAAATTGAAAACAACATTTTATATATTTGAAATGTGCAGTCCTTTTTTACCCTGATCTAAACTATTTATCCTGTGAATTCCCAGCAAATTTGGCTTCACACAAATTTTCTTTTACATTTTTTTTTTTTTTTTATCAGAGAAATGATGAGATGTTACCTGATATCTTTGAAAGTTGGAAAGAGCTCACTTTCATAATTAAATCTCTTAGCAAAGAAATCTCTGATGCATTTGACGTCACGGTCAAAGTACCTGCAGACAAAAGTTGGAGATGTGAGCAACCGTTTTCTTTTGAACTTTTGATCTCATCTTCAGGAGCATGGACGCACCATTCAGCATTTTGGTGTGATGTAGAAACCATCTGAGGGAAGTCGATCATCGTTATGTGGTCCTGGTCGTCCAGCATGAGGTTGAACTCATTAAAGTCTCCGTGAATCAGGCCATGATTGGCCAGTTTGACGATAAGCTCCATGAACTCGCTGTACAGTGCTGCAGGGTCCTGGAGCTCATGCACCTGACATCTGCAGCGTTGGGAAAATAGGCTTGAATTAGAATGCAGTTTTAACACGTCAATGTTGCCGTTTGCAGACAAGGGTGGAGGCCGCCCAGTTTACGCACAGAGGATATCCATTGATGAGCTCCATCACTACAGCGTGTCGGTTATAATCCACAGGTTTAGGAACAGGAAAGCCTCGGTCATACAGAGCCTGGTAAAGAAAGAGGAAAAACATTGCAACTGCTATTTTCCAACGATTTACGTTTTTTTTCTTCCCCAAACTTCCACCAATTTAGCCCACTACCTTCATGTAGGCAAACTCCTTCATGGCAGAAAGACGCGAGAGGTACAACCAGGACATATTCCTCCTGTGTTTGTGGTAATCTCTCTTATTTTTAAGGTTTCTGAAGGAGGTGCGACCAAGCCTGTGCAGCTTCAGGGCGTACTGCTCCCCATCTGGACTTGCTACTATATAAATATCTAGACAGGAAATGGAAACAAACAGGAACAAAAAGGGAGGAAAATTCTCATTAGGGATAGTTTAGTAGAGATTTCCACAGATTTCCACAGCAATAGTTTTAAAAGAATAAGTTAACTAAATCAGTTCAGAGTAATATATTGTCTAGCTTACACGATTTTTGTTTTTTTTCCCCCTCACCTGACTCTTTGCCCACACCCATCTGGTTACCAACTGACAGAATCACTTCTCTGGAACACAATGTCTTTAAAGCCAGGTAGTCGTATCCTCCGTAGTTCAACCTGTAGCCCTGCACAGCTTAAAACAAACACATAATGCATATAATAAATGACCTCCATGCGTTAATGTCTTCTCCACTAGAAAGGAAGACACAAACGTATGATCTTACTTTTGGAGCGTTCGTAAACCACAAGTTTGTGTTTTACGAGTTCTCTGAGGATCTTGTTGCAGCCGCCATGTTTGAGGCTGGCAATGGACGAAAGAAGACTCACTGGGACAATTTCATGGTTTTTCATCCCCATCTCAACCTGTGAGAGAAGAATTTAGAGAAACAGGTTAACATCTGAGAGAGGAAGGATTGAAACATTGAAACCTTTTTTAGCTATTTTAGCAACGTTCTACCGTTTATTCAAATGTATCCAGGCTATTTATGAGACTCCATGTCGTAATGAAAGCTGAAAACTATGTTTGTTTTATATAATGTCTTTGATAAATTTGGATAGTGTATAAATATTTAGTACAGATGTATTTACTGTAGTCAAGGTTTAGGCACAGTCTTTCTGCTTCAGTAATAAACAGAACTGAGAAACATGGCTTATAATTCTAATCTTTGAGTTTTTTTACTACCAAAGCGGATTAATATTATTTTCTCACCTAAACTTTATGATAAAAATGACACATTACATTTATTCCTTTTCAAGAACTAACTTAAAAGAATTATGTTTCACAACAAACAATTAAAATATAACACTAAATGATATCATACACGGAGAGCTGGTTTATCAGCTATGAGGGGACACACACATAAAATATGAAATTATTTCACTCTGAACTACAAAAGGACAAGGAAAGGATTAGTTTAAAATCTTCAATTAAATTTTCATAGACAAAAACTTCGATTAATTAACAATATAGGAAATTTGCAAATCAAATAATTACGTCAACGCAACGGGGAAATTGTTTTACGATTTTGAAATAAATGTTAATTTAATCTAATTCACTGAGAATCTGGCTGCTTCCACTTCTTATATTTTCAATTGATTCAAGTAACTGATTTACTTACTGACTTAATACTAACTATATTTACACATTACAAGCCATAGAGGACAATGAAAATATTTACATTGTAAAATAACCACTTATAATTGAGAAAGACACTGAAATTGTCCTGGAAGGTATTATTATCACTGCCACTTCTTATACTGCGGTAGATACTCTTCATTTTATTACGTTTTCAGCCCGAGAGACAGACCGATAAGTGCAATTATATTTGGAAAAATATTAATGACATACATAAAGTATTTTAAATGCCAATCAGCAACAGCGTAGTAACTAAAACACCGATGGTTTGATACACTGAAGGATTGAGCTAAGCTAACTCATGCAGTATTAATGAAGCGGTTGGATCGTTACTTACAGCGGTAAGGACTCGGAAATCATCCCGAGATAAATATCTCAACACAATAACATTTAGCTTCCCCATGTTAAAAAAAAAAAAAGACGAGAACAGAACAATCCTATAAACTTGTTATTTGAACACCAATACTCTGAACTGTCTCGATAAACACATGTGCAATTCTTCTTCTTCTGCTGTAGCTGCGGTGGGCATCCTGCGTATGCTCGCACTACGCCACCTGCTGGAGTCTTTTTAACATTACAAGAGAAATATATTAAAATATTATGTCCCATTTATTTAGAACTGTGATCACGAGTATAACTTAGTATAGTTGAGGTTCTCCCTAACTTCTTCAAAATCATAAAGTAAGCATCTTTCTTTTTTACACAAGAAAATTATTTTTATGTTGTTTGAATTTTTTATTTTATGTTTATTTCAATTTTTTTTCCTGGCTGACAGGTGTCTGAACACAGAACAAGGAAATCTGTTGTTTAATGAAGTGAACTGCTTGTAGCTACATGCATCCTAGGCTGGTTTATGACTATTTCCTGTAGCTGATTCCTGCCCCAACATGACATTTTATCAGTTTAATTTTGTTTTGGAAAGGGTTTTCCTTTACAATTTAATCATCTTTGCTAATATATCACAAGTACTATTACTGTAAAAAAATAAAAATAATTAATAAATACCAACGACAGCTGAGAATCTGTCCTCCCCAGTGATCATCTAAGGTTATTGTATATTATAATAACGTGAAAAAGTGTAGTGAAAACCACAGCTTGATGAAAGATGGAGAAAGAAAAAAAAAAAAAAGGAGAGGTGGGAGACATTGCATATTTAGGTATTAATTCAATACCAGGTAAATACTTTGTCAATATAACTAATAGATGTGTGGCTCTACCGGAAAAAGAAAAATATATAAAAATGCCATTTTGAAGTATTTGGAAACCTGGCAGACTGAATCAAGGAGGTGTAAAGGTTAGGGTAGCTAATTAACCTAAACAAGTTGTGTTGAAAACCATTTTATAAAATAAAGCCCAAAGTCTTCTTTGTGTCATAGTGTAAATGCTCATCACAGTCTGTTGAAAAAAAAAAAAAAAAAAAAGTTGTTTATGACCATGTATGCTCACCCTTTTAGGAAACCTGTGTGCTGATTTTTATGCACCAATTCACCAGGCTTAAATTATCGCAAACTGGTGTCTTTGACATGTCAATCTTTTATCTAACACTCGCAGATTCAGTCAGCAGATCTCAATCCCACAGAGTAATGTAGGGATCTGGTGAAGCAGGAAATTTCCATCATGGATGTGTTTGAAAATTCCTCCTGTGTCACACTGTCATGTCAGTAATCTGAGAAATGTTTCCCCAACTTTTCCCCTACTTTTTGATAAGAATGATCTCTTTAAATCAAATGTATTTATCAACATACAAATTCCCCTCCAACTGCCTCTGTGCTTAAATACCTTGAATTGTTCTAGAATAAATTTGTGATTTTACTTAAAAACAAACAAACGAAAACTAAAGTAAAAAAGGAACAATATTTCTGAGTGGAACATTTCATACTTCAACATAATTCAAGCGCAGAACGCATCAAAAAAAAATGTCTGCTCAGAATGCATGCAAAGAAAAAGCTGAAACTTCCCAAACCCGACCGGCAACAACAGAATAATGTAATTTTATCTTGCAGCCAGGACATAGAGGCAATTTTTCCCCTACTTGCACATTTGTAATATCTTGATACCCAACTGAAGTGAACCACCTTCCAAGTTTAATGCATTCCTGAATCCTGAAGTCATTAATCACATCACTTATTTTTCTGTTCTCTGATTACCAGCAATAAAATTAACCTCTATCTAGATCCTAGCAGAGTTGTTGGCTCTTCATCTCAAGCTCATCTAAAGGTTGGGATCTTTACCAGAGGGCTTGAGGGTTCTTCACAGTATCTTAGCTGCAGTGGTGAAAAAAGTACTCAGAAACAGTACAACTAAACAAACAAATAAATACTATAGTAAAAGTAAAAGTATCACACTGACATTTGTACCTAAGTAAAAGTAACAAAGTACTTGCTTTTAAAAATACTTAAAGTATTAGAAGTACTTTCCGAATGAACTGCAATGTTTCACAATGATTATCAATAATACTATATGTATATTTTCTTTAATACATCAATAATGTGGCTTTAATGAACAATGCTGTGGATAATGCATGTTTTGTTTTTACCTTCTGTCAAACTTCACACTTGGGACTTATAATTTTGGAATTTCAGGGATATCTGCTAAGTGAAATAATTTAACAAAAAATATGCCATGTTTTATTTAATCTAAAGTTAGCACATTGCTACAACATCAGACTCGCTAAACAGCACTGATCTTTTCAACTATGAATTTTAACTCCAGTTTAATCATGTACTCCACGGTTTAACAATACTGTAAAAACAGCTTTGTAATTCAAGGCTGTCAAACTGTTGATGAGGTCCAGTGTCCTGTAACTTTTATATTTGTCTTTAATTCAACACACCATAATCAAATAAGTTGAGCTCTGAAAACTTCTTGTACCATTCCAGGTGAAGATTCTCAGTCTTCCAGGTCATAGTCATTACAAAAAAGTTAAACAAACCACTGGACTTTTTTTTCCAAGTTTGAAGACATTTTGCTTACCATGCAGAAAGCTTTCTCAATCAAAATGTCTGGAGTAGCGTTTGAGTTCCAGGCTTATGGAGTGGCCCAAACCAAAGCCTTGTTATGGCTTATAAAGCATGCAAATTGAACCAAATAAACAGGTCTACCTCTTTGTAATGGGGAGTTGTTGAGGTTGTTATTGGCCTGCAAAACACAATACTGGCCCATGCCTCTGAAAAGGGAGTTGTTGGGGTGGTTGTTGGCCTGGCTAAACAGGCGAGATGTTTTGGTCCCCTGCATAGCGATGGGGGTTGAGATGATAGCAGAAAGGGATCATTTCTATCGCTGCATTATAGGTTTTTGAGAGCTAGAACCTGAGACAACCCCCTCTGTTTAAGGTTGGTTTTACCTTAACATAAATGGCTTCCTTCATACCCCTTTCAAACCAACTGTCTTCTTTGACCAAAATGTGAACATTCTGGTCCTCAAACGAGTGTCCTTTGTCCTTAAGGTGTAGGTGGACAGTAGAGTCCTGTCCGGAGGAGGTAGCTCACCTGTGTTGAGCCATGCATCTATAGAGAGGTTCTTAAGTTTCTCCACCATGAAGATCAGAGTATTCCTCACTGCACTGAACTGCATACACCACTCCACTCATCTTAGGTCTGGGTGTTTTTTGTTTAGGATGCACCAGCCTCTGTTTAAGGGTCTTGTTTGGTTTGAAATGTACTGGGATTTTCTGTTTGGAGAAAATCCTGTTGAGTTTTATAGAGACCCCAGCAACATATAGGATGGCGATATTTTTGTGTTTAATCTTTTTGCTGTTATGATCTGATGCGTGTCTTTTGGACTTCCTTGCTTATTTGACAAACGCCCAGTTAGGATATCCACAGATCTGGAGAGCATCTTTGATGCGTTTCTGTTCTTTGTGCTTCCCTTCTGTTTTAGTATTCTTGCATCATTCAGAAATGTAAAAGCTGCAGGACACCAGACCTCAAGGACAGAGTTCCCCTTCTCTGGCTCAGTAATGATCACCTCGCTCTTCTCGGGGGAGGCGGGTCCAATGTTACCTGCTCGCTTTGCAGTTGTTCAGTGGACCAATCCCCATCTAGCATTTAATTACTTTCAAACTCCCAAACAATCAATAAATAAATGTAAACACAATGTGACATGAATGTAACATGTAATGTAATGTAAATTTGTGGTGCAGTTGAAAGTACAGGTACTTAATGTAAATTGTAGTTGAATAAAAGTAGAAAGTATCCATGATTAAATCTACTTAAGTAATCCAAGCTCTGTCATTCCCCCCCCCCACCCTGGAAGGTGGTTCTCATTTTGAGGGTCTCCTTTTTGTGTTCTGGATAGATGTTTCTGTGCTATATACCAGTCACTTGGTCACAAGGTTCTATGTTTTCCTTTCCTGGCAGTATTTCACACCCTGCTGTTTGATTGTTTCTGTAGCATCTCTGCATGGCCTGCACCTAGGATCTTATTCTGTGTGGTACATCTGGGCCTGTATTGCTCCTGTGCTGCCAGGATCGATGCTTCTGTGCTGTATTTCACTAGCCAGCCCTCTCTAACCATAAGGACAGACATTTTTAAGATTTTGACAGTCACTGGCCCCTTTCTGTTACCACAGCAGCTGGATTCTGTACATTCCAGAGGCAGGTAGTCCAAACACATGGTGAGAGTGTTTTGGTGGCAGTTCAGCCATTGCTTCTCACTGAAAGCACAGCATTGACAATCAATGCCCTTTCTATCTCATGCTTAGATTTGACTTACGGTATATATTTCTCAGTTTATCCCTAGGCATTCAGTATGTATTAACCCCAGAAATCTAAGTGTTTGGTGAGCAACAGTGAGAAAATACAAGGGCTATAGTGTACGCTGCTTAAAGGAGTTTGGTCTGTTTATCTTGCAGCCAATCACATAAGCTTTGATTTCTGTTTTTTAATAACTTAGAGATCATGCAGATCTAAGTTTCACACCTTCAGGATTATATCACCCCTAATTTACCCAATACACATTATTTATTGCAAAATTAAAGCTGTAGAAAAGTACATCCAGATATAGAAATGTATTTGCACACAGCACTTGGTTAGAGGTAGTTTTGCATGAATCATTGCATCAGTTAGTCGAATGTTCTGCTGAATGTTGCAGATATCTGTCTTCTTCCTGGAAAAAAAAAATCTTAAATTCTATATAAGGTTTAGGTTGGGTTAGTTTTCTGGCAAATTATAAATAATTATATTTTTCTCTATAAACCTTGTATTAGACGTTTTGGAAGTGTGGGCAAATGCCAAGTCAAGCACAAAGCACTCATATGTTTCCTAAAAGGTGAATGCACTGAATTATTTTACTTAAAAAGACACAGAGGACCAACACTGGCAGGGGACTTAGCTGCCAAAATCAACAGTGACTGTGGAGACTGAAAACTGGACCTCAAGCAGCATAGATTCTCTGCTTAGACACATTTCCAACAGACTGTGGGACATCTTTTTTTAAAAGAAAAAATTAGAATCACTCTCTGAGCAGGACTTTGGGCCACTGAGAAACAGTCAAGTCCAAATATGATTTTGTA